GGGCTTTTTTTTTTCATGATATGCCACGAGGTTTTAATCGGCGTTATAAATATATCTGGCAGAGATTATACATTTCTCTGGATCTGGACTTAACTCGACGTCCATTTCAAAACTGGAATATTGTTTTCTAACAACTAACAACCAATCTAACCATATCTTTTTGGAAAATTCATTCAATATTGTTTGAACGCATCTTTTCAGGCGTTCGGCCAATTTCACTGAGACAGTGCTCCTATGATACTTACAGGGTTTCTCACAATGTGATTGATGAATCTGCAAGATAAATTTGGCCTCAAACATTTTAAGCTGGTTGGGGGAAACCCAATGATGAATCTGCAAGACAAATTTGGCCCCAAACATAAATTGAGATACAAATTTTATTATATTCAATGTAAAATCTTCAACCTTCAGATCATATGGCCATTGCCATGGATTGTAACAAAAATTGTTGAGATTATTGGGTGGTGAAAATTTTCTTCAATTTTCGATAACCGTCTAATATCACACACACTGAATACCTACTATTATAGAGTTGAACAGTAGAGTTTTAACTGCTCAATATCTGTTTACTTAGATTTTATATCTCCTGATACACAAAATATTGTGCAAATTTTGTTATTCTATTTTGCAGAGTAAATTACCTACTATTTTTCTATGATTCTTGTATCTCATGAGATTGCTAGTCAAAATGAGAAAATTCGGGTGCTAGGAAAAAATGTGATGCCGAATGCTTTTCAAATTGTGAAGTTTGAAGAATGTAGATGACTTTATTTTGTAATACTACTCATTTTTTTATAATGAACATGTATGACATAACAATTAATAAAATATATGCATTTTGTGTTCCATAGTTTCTTTCTTTTTGAGTTGGTCCGATACAACTACGTTAAAACACACCCCTTCATAAGATATAATGCTGCAACTCGAATTTATTTAGTGTGCTCATTATTGCGAAATCAATGTTGCGTCATTTACCTCAATTGCAATTAGACCTCAATTATTGGTCTATACATTTTTAGCTTTTGGATTAACTGACAGGATAATCTGTTAATAAGCCGTGAGAATAATCTTGCAATTAGAATTTAATCAACCCATGAAACAATTATAAACTTATTGCAAATCTGTCAATTGAACTCTAGTTATGCAGGGTATTTCAAAAAAACCTAACCCCCTTGCTAGGGTAGGTAGAACATTGCAAAATAAGTTGGGTTTGCTCAGTGAAAAAATGTCGCAACGGCATCCGTTTCCATGACACAAGGTGTTGAAAAAATTATTTTTTTACCCATTCTTCACGATTATTCCGGAACTACTGGCAACATTGTAATGAAATTTTGTATGGATGTTTCTTGAAATCTGACACATTGCATGAATTTATTTTTATATCTGACTCTCATAGAGGGCGCTAGTTACACGATTCGAACCGAGTAGATTTGAACAAAACTTTTTTGAGGTTAGATTTTCCAATCCAAATATGATATGAACTTGAAGATCATTTACTTTTACACCAAAAAGGTACTCCTGGTGAAACTCGATACTATGTTTCGTTTTCGGAATATTTCGATTCGAAAATAATGGAGTATAGTAATGATGCTGGTATAAAATGAATTTTATTGAGTTCAATTACCTATTTATTCAGGTTCAGAAATAATGTAATTTTTCTTGTGCTGAAGTTATTGATGGAACAAAGAATCATAAGTAGAAAATTAAGAGATATTTGGCTATAGAAACATGAAATATTGAATCAGTTAGAGTAAGTGTTCAAAATATCCTACGTTCCGAGGAATACACGATTCTATATTCTTTTTTTAAGAATGTATTATTCTTCTAAACAGTTGAGGATGAGCTGTTAGGTCATTTAAGTGATGTTCAATTATGTCTCACAACTCTTGACGTGAATTTACCTATGAAGCATAGACTTTCTGCTCAAGATACAACAAAACTGTGTTATCCATGTTCTTAGTCAAATCCGTTTCGATCTTATTCTTGTGATTCATTGTTAAATCAATGAGTTTCGCATTAGAAATGTATTGTTGTTTTCGGTTTTCGATAAATAGGTGATAATTTTTCATAATACTCACTCTAATACATAACTTTATACCAGCAACAGTTACCACTTCATCATTTTCAAATCGGAATATTCCGAAAACGGAACACAGTATCAAGTTTTACCAAGAGTACCTTTTTGGTGTGAAATTGAATGATGTTCAAGTTCACATCAAATTTGGATTGAAAAATCCAACCTCAAAAAAGTTATGTTCAAAACTACTCGGTACGAACCGTGTAACTAGCGCCCTCTATGAGAGTCAGATATAACAACAAATGCATGCGATGTGTCAGATTCCAAGAAACATCCATACAGAATTTCATCACAATGTTGCGAGTAGTTTCTACATAATCGTAAAAAATGTGTAAAAAAATATTGTTTCAACACCTAGTATCTTGAAAACGGATGGCGTTACGACATATTTTCACTGAGCAAACCCAACTTATTTTGCAATGTTCTACCTACCCTGGCAAGAGGGTTGGGTTTTTTGAAACACCCTGTATACAGTGTGTCCCACTTACCATGCTCACCATGGGTATCTTTTTAATCGTGAGAGATACGAGGTCGGTTGAATGACACTAAATGTGGAGTTTGTCAAGGCCAACTATAATGTGAAAAAATATTTTGATAAAATCTATTCGTTTTTGTTTTATAATATGCAAAAAACTTGTTTTGATCATTTTCATGTGTCCTCCGTGACTTCTTTATGAAAATATTCATATAGGAATTTCACATTCTCATGACAGTTTTTCAAAGTGATTTCGAAAAAAATATGAAATTTATACCAACTCTTCTGGAATTTGAGATATCAGCACCAACTTTAGTTTTTCAAATGTAGGAAATAGCTCACTATGACTTAGTTACAAATAACTTCTTTTTCTCTCACAGATGATATGTCGCAGTAATAGTTTTGTGTTGATAACAACGGAGTTATCGTCATTTATACAAAAACAAAAAAATATTTGGGAGCCGCCATCTTGAATTTATGAATTTCAACGAAAAAATCATGATCTCCGACCTCAAAAACCCCCACTTACCAATTTTGAACCGAATCGGACCAGATCTTGTCCGCCATCTTGGAGCAGCCATTTTTTTCAATTTCAACAAAAATTCCATAACTCCGATTACCTTGGAATTTGGCAGGTGTTCATAATTTTGGTGACAATACATTATGGAATTTTTGTTGAAATTAAAAAAATGGCTGCTCCAAGATGGCGGACAAGATTTGGTCCGATTCTATTCAAAATTGGTGAGTGGAGGTTTTTGAGGTCGGAGATCATGATTTTTCGTTAAAATTTATAAATTCAAGATGGCGGCTTCCAAATAATTTTTTGTTTTTGTATAAATGACGATAACTCCGTTGTTATCAACACAAAACTATTACTGCGACATATCATCTGTGAGAGAAAAAAAAAATGTAAATGTTATTTGTAACTAAGTCATAGTGAGCTATGACCTACATTTGAAAAAAACTAAAGTTGGTGCTGATATCTCAAATTCTAGAAGAGTTGGTTTAAATTTAATATTTTCTTCGAAATCACTTTGAAAAACTGCCATGAGAATGTGAAATTCCTATTTGAATATTTTTATAAATAAAGAAGTTACGGAGGAGACATGAAAATGATCAAAATATGTTTTTTGCGTATAAAACAAAAACGAATAGATTTTATCAAAATATTTTTTCACATTATAGTTGGCCTTGACAAACTCCACATTTGGTGTCATTTAACCGACCTCGTATCTCTCACCGTTAAAAAGATACCCATGGTGAGCATGGTAAGTCGGACACACTGTATTATATAAGCTCCATAAATACTCAAATCTCTCAATCAGCAGAATTTATAGAATCATCTTGCAATTATAGTTTCAAATGAACAAAAAAATTAGGCAGAAAACATTGCTATAAGTACATACTATAAATGACATGATCAACATTAATTGATACAAAAATATAGTGTAATTTACCCAATTCATTTATGCCAACCATCAGGAATACTTTCTGGTACAGGTAATAGTATTTTTTTTTTCACTAACTGGTTGGGAAATATTCAAAACTCAGTATTTGCAAATATTTCCATGAATACTTCTGAGGTATCCAAAAGTAGGTATTCAAATGATGAAAATTTATTAAAATACTTTTGTATTTTTTATTCAAACGCTTATTGCCCTCTGAAAACGTTCAATATTTCAATCTTCTCGAACTACTCTCTAATTATTGAGCTGTAATTTCGAGATTTATCCTGAATTCAAATTGTATGCATGCTGCTTACCATATAGAGCATGTAAAAATGAGTGGAAAACATTTTGGAAGCATAATTTATTATTATTTCAAGATTTTATTGATTGCACATTTGTATGTAACATTATTATACTATGAATGGCACATCAACATTTGTTACAAAAATATGTAATATCAATATCAGTAAATATTCAAAGAAAAAATATATTTCAAAAATTGTTATTAACCCTACATGATGTTGATTGAGTATGCAGCCAAACTTAAAGGTCTGATTTTTTTGGTGATTCCAAGAAATTTTGGTGAAATTAAGCACTGTTAGTTATAGCCATAATCCGAAAAATAAATTGACACCCGGTGTACCTAGAAAACCTCCATATTTTTGTCTTAGAATCATTAAAAAATCACTAGTTGAAATGTGGTCACATACTAAATTGACACCTTGTATAGGAGACAATCGTTACACTTACAAATTAATATTTGGTCTAAAGCAGAAGTTCGACTTCAGAAGCCAATAAGAATAATGATAAAGGAAAAAAATATGCAACATCAGTCTCTAATAAGGGGAAGTAAAACTATGTTCAAAATGCAAACACGTGAATATCACCTTTCACTATATGAGATTCATAAAAAATTACGAAATTCATTGATGAAAATGGAGTAAAAAAGGAATCAAAGAGTATGAAGACAGTTAAGAAAAAAATTCGCTCACAAAAAAGATTAAAACTCGTCATGCCTTGCCAAAGCCTCTCCGAAATCCGTGGCCTGCGACCCCACAAACAAGTCGTACTTCTGCAGCACCTATAATAATAATAATAATAATGTTTAGTTGCAGAAAAAAATATAACTTACAAGTACCGAAATAGCCTAAATGCTATTTTATGTTATACAGGGTCATTAATTAAGAATGAGAAATCTTTGAACCACAGATAATAAACACAGCAATAATGAGATTTAGCCCAATATGCCCGATGAGAATGTTGCTGGTTCAGGAGATACAGGGTGTTCTAGGGGGAAATTTTATCTCAAAATTTTACAATAACTTTGTTAGTTTCAACAGCATGAACATAAAATCTTGTATTTCTAGGTTTTCTGACATGAGGAATATGAATTTGCAACTTATTTTCTGATTGCTCATAGAGGGCACTGGTGACACTCTGTTACTCCGATAATTTATATCATATCTTCTATGTTAATTCATTGTAGATCAAAATAAGTGGAAAACAGTGGCGGCACTGGCGGCTCCTCATAGGAGGCAACGGAGGCTGAGCCTCCTCAGAGATTCTCCTTAAACTGATATTATCTATACTTTCTCACAACAAAATACATAGATTTTGATTTTATTTCCTGTTTTCAGGTGAATATTTTTGAATTGGCAACAGTGCTTGCTCACGCATCACACGTTGAAGTCTGCAAAGCACGCGTAAAATATTCAACTTGGCAACATCTAAAGGCGGCTAGACTCCTTCACATAACGCAACCCACGCGGGCAATGCAAATGCCCGAATACACCCGAATAGCACGTGTTTGTCGTGTCGCGTCGCGAATTGCGGACAATCCAGCGCGAGTGCATTGTTTATGTTTATGTTAGGTAAATGGTTAGGGGCTCTATAAATTTCTGAAAAATGAGTGTTTTTAAACGATTGCGATTTAGTGGAATACTTTTTGGTGAACCCATTCAGTGCTTTGTCTTATGAAGATAAATTGATTGTGAAAAACAAACGTCCGACACCGGAATTAAAAATCTGATTGTAACAGGTAACAAACAAAATCGTTCCAGGTAAGGAATAAGCTTTTTTGTTGGTACTGCGTATTATTTTCAACCGATAAGTAGTCATCATGTTGGGGGCGATTAGGATATAATGATTTGAAAAATTTGCCTCGCGGATTGGATAGAAACTGCAAATCACAGGAACACATCTCTTCAAGTATCAAGTTCAGGTTAACTGGTAAACAGAATGTCATTAAAGCTATCAATTTGGGTGAGTGGTAGAGGGTTGTTTTTTACAATAAATCTCATATCATTCAGCCTCCTCTGTCATGAAAGTCACGAGCCGCCACTGGACTGGAAAATCTGAAAGCTCGTTCAATTTCACATGAAAAATGTTCTTTTTATCAAACTGTTTAGCGACAACGGTTTTTGTGTTATTCGCTCTTGAATTCATTTTTCACTTGACATTTTAATGATTTTATTTATTTAATTGAGAATGGGAAATCTCAGAACTACAGATAGTAAACATCCAAATATGAAGATTTAGCCCAACATGCCTCAAAAATATTGCTGGAGATACAGGAAGGAGAAGATATTTTGAAATAAAATCTCCTCAACCACATCCACCGTGGACTCGACCGTGGATCACCCTGTATACTATTAAGGTATAAGTTTCGAAATTTGCCATTAAAATTTCGTACCTCCTCTTTGGACAGCTGCTCGTCCGAGTCGGAGTCTGCCTCGTAGATCAGATGTCGGGCTTCCGCTTCCGCATGGTCGAAGTCCTGCGGCAGGATCCAATTCCTCACCTCGTCCTGATCCATGAAGCCGTCGCCGTCCTTGTCGCGGTACACGTTGAATTGTTCGCGTTCGCTCTTCACCCAGTCGGGCTCTTCTTCTCCGTCCTCGCTCCTAAGAGAATCCATCTTTGATTATTCGTGATCGTCACCCTAATAGACCGGAAGCCCATATCGTGTTTTTTGTGTCTCATTTGTTCACACTAGAGTTCCTAAATGTACTTGACACTGCAGTTTTGACGTTTTTTGTATATAAGAGTACGGACACTAAACAAGCAGTGACAATCAAACATAACCACAAACGGTTTTGAACAGTTTTGAAGCAAATCATATGTTTTGCCAGACAAGGACAAGAACATGTTTTTTGCTTAGATAAAGGATCCTCGCATCTTCCTTCCTCCACAAGTCCATATATCTTTCTCTGTCTTTTATATTTGTATGAGAGTGTATAGCGTCTCCTCCAGTGGGTAAAAGAGTATGATAAATTGATTAGAGAATTATTTCTTCTCGAAATATAAAGCTGAAGGTCCTCAATGGAGGTCGATATCAAGTTGGTATGTACATAAATACGAATGAAATACATATACTATTCCTATGAGATGAGTCTCTTATATGTAGGTATATATATACGTTCAGTTGAATATTTTTCAATCACAAAAGTTCAGAATGGGATGAAAACTGATAAATTTCAACCGATGGAACATACTTTTATTTCGTATGGAACAATTTCACTAGTAAAAGCGTGATTGAGTAATTAATAAATGAACAAATGATATGGCAACACTTTATCTAAGCGAAAGACATATTCTTGTCCTTGTCTGGCAAAACATATGATTTGCTTCAAAATCGTTTGTGGTTACGTTTTATTGTCACTGCTTGTCTAGTGTCCGTACTCTAATATTCGCGGAAATCAATGTTACCAGGTGGCGCTGGGTTTTCATCGTTCCATGTCAAAGCCACGTCAAAACTGGGGGAAAACAAACTCAATCCTCACTCAATCCCATTAGTGCCATTAGCTTGTGTACTGATGAGTGATGAGTTTTCAAATTTCTTGACATGAATTGTCAATATTCGATCGAAAAAGGTGAATAATGCCTGTTGAAGATGTTTTTTTGGCAGATATTTTGCTCTATTAATCATGTGATTTTGTGTGAGGCAGAAGACTTCAACAAAAGGCACATTTTTGAACTTTGTCTACAAACTTCGGCGATGAAATCTTTCCCACATGAAGTAAAATTGAAGTTGGGGTCCAGAGAAACTCCTGTAGAACAATGGATTTGTATTTGTTCCTGCAAAGCAGTACAATCTAGGTATTGTAAACATGGTGTAGCTGTTCTTTTATAATATATGTCAATTGATTTGTTCGTCATAATTAGTTTGAATTGTTTGAACTATCTCCAATTCTTTACCCGCTCACTGTTCACTTAACAAATAGAAATGTAATAATGTGTGACACTTTATGTCATTGACAAGTTTGACAACAGCTACAGCAAGCTGAATGCAATGTAGTCTATGCACTTTATCCATAGACAACAGTTTGTTTGTGTTTTTTATGTCTCATTTGTTCACACTAGGGTCCCTTGATGTAAATTGACGTATTTGTCATCGTAACAGGGTACGGACAGATCCATGGTGAAATAGTATATTACACACCGAGGTAGGAAGTGATTCATTCCTGTCGTGAGAATAGTCAGTTAACCGAGACGCAAAGCATCAAGGTTAGCTATAATTTCGAGACAGGAATGAAACTTCCTACCGAGGTTTGTATACTATTTTATTAAATCATTTTTAATAATATTTATTTACTAATTAATTAATTTAATAACTATTTCACCATGAACAGATCATAGCTCCTGTCTCTTTTAATGATCTAGTGACATTGCTGTCACGTAACATCAATAGGCGTCCAAAAAGAAATCTTACGAAAATTCAATTAGTATTCAATCTTATTATGACATTATTCAATTCTTTTTTTGAATTGACTCGGCCGTTACGTGATGGAAATCCATGACAAATGTAAAAACTTCAGAAATGATAAGATTTCCACAAAATTCTCAAGCACACGACATGTTAACGCTGACAGAGTAGCTTCGTCAGGTGATATACTGGTACAATGAACTAAACTAACGTTGGCTTGCTTAACTTTTATATATCTTAGTTTCCCAACCTGAAGGATTAGTTATCTGTGGACAGGTACGATAAACCTCCATTTTCGGAAATTAGGCACAATATCTTCATTAATATACGGTATATCGGATCAACTTGAAAGAGTTGATAGCAAATACATTTTACATAATACATAATAATACAACGAATACATATTACATAATACATAATAATTATTGATTTTTTTTATTGACTCAAAAGTGAAATTCCATTTTTATTCTTACAGGATTAGGAGGGCAAATGAATACAAAATTGAAATTATATATTCTCATTCGAATGTCACAATATATTATACAGGATGAACGGAGCTCAATGTCTCAGCACTATCAGAAGAAATAGGAGAACAATGGAAAAAAATTTAAAAGAGGTTCTTGAATGGTATGGAGTACGTAAGGCCTATTTTAAGCCTAATTTTTAAGTTCCTATTTTTCCATAAATATTTCACTATCAGAAGGTGAATGAGAGGTGGATAAAAAGTGAATAAAAGTACAATGTTAGGACGATTTTTTTCATTAAAGCTGAATATCTGCGTCGCCGGGGATACCTTCATTTTTTCCTCTCTGGAGAAGGAGAAGCTCCAAAGGCAAATCTGAAAAAACAATATTATGATGTAGCTCTTGAGTTTAAGGATTTGAATTTGTAGTTTTCACCTTCAAAATGTTTTTTTACTACCTCATCAAGATTGTCATTCTCTTTTTACTTTTTGTTTCAGTGTTTTCACTTTTCTTTGCAATAGACTAGGCCTTCTCTAATGAAACAGTTTGTGGGTTTCATTATCAATAAACTTTGAAACTTACCTGGGAGCTGGAAGTTGCAAGCAAATCAATGTCCACATGGAAAACATTGTCCTTAGAATCCAAGTTATGAACATCCACAGACACATCCTAAATTACTATAGTTTTTCTAAGAATTAGAACAATTTTCAACTTACCCTTGCTTATTTTGCATTCAAAGGCAACAAAATATAAATAATCATTGTCTATTGATTCAAAATCACAAATCTTTTCAACAATAATCAATTCACACCAACAAATTCAGTCCTTTTGAAGACACAAAATATGCCAAATTAAGAAATATTTCACACAACAGAAAACAATGATGTTATGTCTTCACTTTTTTGCCTGTTTAGATAAAAAAAATCTCAAGTACTCCAATAATTCCCCATTAAACAACAGGAGTGTGAAAGAGACAGGTTACCACAACACAAGCTATCTTTGTTGCAGCTGCCCCTGACACACTTTGTGCTATTCCAGAAACTGACCGTCTCCCTTCCAGGTATTTATAATCAGGTCAATTTTGGTTTTCAGATCTTGGTGATAAATTTGAACAACCAAGTCACATGAATAATTATTTCCCAAGTATCTGGTAATAATGACTAGCAATTGATCAATATAATGCTCAAAGATCCAGTACTGCCCCTCTTTGTTGGCACTTTTGATATTCCTTACCTCTCACTAGGTTGCCTATTTGGGACATGTAATATCCAACAATTATTCATCAAACTCTGTAAGTCCCGGAATATTGATTGATTGATTAATGATTCAACTTGAACAAACTAATTCATAGCCAATGTTCAAAGGATAGAAACCTTTCTTCCTAAAAAATCTAGCTACAAAATATTGGGCATCCCTGTACAATATCTATCATATCTTGTGAGTTGTAAGGTCTAGGGAGGATCTATAAGAAATTGCTAGGCAATACCAAGAATATAATAATAATAATTATAATAATAATAAATAGTAGTAATAATAATTATAAGTCCTGGTTTCATAATATGTTTATTGTAGGGAATTGAAAGGATTTTCATAGTTTTCAGAGGTATTATGATGGGGAATAGCTAGAAACTGCCTGTGAATTCAGAGGTTCATTATAGTGGACTATGATTTCATGAGAAATTGTGAGGAATGACAAGAATTGAGAGTTTGGTAGGTACTGAAAGGTTTTAGTATTCACTTTGATATTGAGGAATGGGTGTTTAATTTGTTTCTTTAAGCTCACCTGTACATGTCTCCAATATATTCCAGAATTGAAACTTTCCCATCTTTATCCTTGTCAATATCTTCCATTGTTTCAGTAACTACAATATCTCTCATGTATTCAGTTTCTTCAGGGTGCAAGAATGCTGCAAATTCCTCTTTGGTAAGCTGGTCATCTCCATCACCATCTGCTGTGGCCCAACGTCTTCTGTCTCTCTTCAACATGGTTTTGTATGAAAATCCTCCTAATTACATAACAGGAAATTACTTATAAATGTAGTAGAACTAAATGAAAGAGGTTTGAACTGTGATTTTTTATTATTTTATAACCTTCATTATCTTTTTCAGCTTCAGCATGATCCATGGTATCCAAAAAACCATAAACCATTTTTTGATAATTCTCCCATGGGATAGTATCTTTATTTTCTGGATTTTGGGTCCTCCATTGCCTATCCACATCTTCTGTAATGTATCTTTTTTGTGTGAAACGAATCCAATCTTTTAGTTCTTCTCTATTAATTAGGCCATCTTGGTTGGTATCAATTCTATCAACTATTAACCTACCCAACAAAATTTGCAATTAAAACGTTTAGTATGATATGTAATAAAACAAACTTACCCTAATCTCCTTTTACTTTCTTCTGGAGCAAGCTGATCAAATGTTTTTGCCTCATCTTTCCCCAAAAATGCTTCATGATCATATTCAGGGTTGTGCTTCTCATCTTCAAAGTGTTCTTGTTCACTTAATTCCCTTTCATAAGCCCTCTCCTTGTGAGTTTCTTCTTTTGGCAATGCATGAATTAAAACGGCGAATGTCAGCAAAATAGCAAATTCTCTGATAATCATTTTATTTTTTTTAATCTGCAACAAATCAGGTCTGGTTTAGAAGTGAACAGAGATTGGAAGTAATTGGTGTAATGTGTTGAATATGTTGGCGTGTCTGCCGTTTATTGGCTGGTCGCGGTCGAGAGTCAAGACGTTTCTTTTTTTACTTCCACATCAGCATGATCCAGCATCACATTTCACTCATGAACATTAATGTTCCACCCACTAGGAAACGAGAAACCAGAAACACGGAAATGTAATTATCTCGATTTTTAACATCAAAGCAATATTTATACCACAGTAGTTTATACTGCTCCATATATTTGGGTGATTGGAATTTAAATAATAATTATTACGTCTTTCGTCAAGAAAACATTCAACAGATAAGAACACTGAATCCAACCAGAGCCCTTGACCCTTGAATCTTTCCTACCAAAGAAGATGCATCCCTAATAACTCTATTTTAAAGTTTTCATTTACTCTTACTTCTTTTTTCTTTTTGTGTCAAAGGTGACAGACTGCTGACTGAGTGACTGACAGTTGAATTTATCCTTGTTCAACACAATGATCTCATCTCCATCTCTAATATTATCTCGTCTCTGACTCGGCTCAAGGGCTCCAAGAGTTCATTGCACCCTTTTATCACGCAAAACCAAAATCCGAATATGACTCCGGCCACAGGCATGGAGACAGGGTCACAACAAAATCAGTGTTGCCAGATTCCGAATGAGAAATTGATAACTGGTCATTGTTCTGAATGAAAATCGAAAATCTGAAATGCACTGCCAGCAGTGCCACTAGTGCCAGCGAAATTTTTTATTCATTCAAGGTCGACTGCTTTTTCATGCTTTTTTTCTCTGTGACAAATAAAAATGTTTTCCATTTTCCATGCATTAACGAGGTTTTCAGGTAGGGTTGTAGAATGGACATAAAATGACCAAAAATATATTAGAAGTCCCACTAATCAGCCTTTCCTACGATATACGATATCCGAAGTGATATAAAAGTTTCAAAATAGTTTCAAGAGTTCGTTCGTTACCTCCCAAGCGCTTCATATTATATTATTATATCAACATACATTGCTATTTTCGTATTTCTCCTATATTTTCTATAACCTCGCAACGTTGCCCTGCTATGCAGCTTGAAATACTTTGACCAATGACAAAAGTTGTTTTGCTAAATATTGCGTCTGATTGGGCAACCATATCGATTTTATAATATTGTAACGGTCAACAGCTGTCTGGGCGCCTAAAACCCTCAAATTATCATATTATACAACTTGATAACTTGAATTGAACTAGCCGTCCGTTACATATCTTCCTATTCTAGTATACTATAGGTTCATGGACTTTGAAGTACTTTAATTATTTCACAATCCATTTCTTTCATTTTCTTGAGCGACTATCATAGTGTTTGTTTCTCATTTTAAATCTGTTAATTGTTGTTTAGATAATATTTCTGTTGTGTTGTGCATCATAATATATTCTATACGAAGGTACTCGAGGAGAATTGAGAGAAAAATGTCTTTTGGAAAGGCTAAAATACAACGCTTCAATGAAATAAAAGGTGAGTAGTTTAAATCTGAATTTCCAACAATTCCAAAAAATTATGTTGTTAGAATTAATTGAAAGACGAAAGGAAAAGGTATACCGCCTCCATACCTTAGATGTGCATTGGTGTACATGTACATGATCAGTTGAAGGTATTATGTTGGAGTTTCCAACCATTATTTTCATTTTAATTCATCCTACCAATTTCGTGAATTTTTTAGAATTTAGAACCAAACTGCTATTTTATATGAGCGCCAAATAGAGAGGTTAGGATTGTTTCATTTTTGTTTCAAGATTTTACTTGTAGAAAATAGGAAGAACAACCTCAAAACGTATTAATTCTTGTATAGAAAGCTGAAGTTCATCATTCGCCTCAGCATAAATTCTCTCATCCTGTATAAACACATAGATAAACATAAACACAATACAATCATGCATAATACCAACCACCATTTTGAATCTGAATTTATGAAAAGTGAAAGGGAGAAGGGAGTGGAGTGACAGTGACGAAAATAAGAAAAGAAAGGTGAAAGGAGCACAAGCAGTTGGAAGATTAGCAGTGGCTAGATTTCCGTCTGACGGGCGGAACCAGTTCAGCGATGCTGTATTGTCCAAGATTCTGAACCTATTTTAAAAGTGCAAATATCTCTCGACTTAGAATTGATACATAATATGGAAGATGTGGTTTTTAGTGAAATATATATATTTTTTCTACAAGAGTGCGAAAAGCCCGCACTCATTTTAGTGTTGAAATAGCCAATTGTCCGCACTTGTGCGGAAAAACATTTTTTCTACAAACGTCAAAAAATATCATTTTTTTCCAGTAGTATACGAGCTATGTCAAAAATTATTCATTCTGCCCAAAAGACCTCTATTTTCTACCTCGTTTTCGACAATATCTGAAATAATCATCATGAAAAGTTTACTAGAATTGAAAAGTAGGTACGTTCAAATATCTGATTAATCTATCTACCATGGAAATCAGGGTTCATTATTTACTCTGAACAAAATTAATATTTCTTGACATTCTTTATATACGACTGAGAAAATTTGATATCTGATATACAGGGTGTCCCGAAATTAGCATGCCATACTTTCAGTAGCAGATTCTTCGAACAAAAATAGGAAGTAAAGTTCCAATAAACATAAGTCAAAATATGGCTCCTAAGAGGGAGCTACGGTCACCTCGACGGCCACCTGAATGGGGGTTCCTGAAGATGATATTTCCCATAGTGGAAGGAGAAGATGATGTGCTCAACAGAAAGCTCAAACTCGTCATGTTCTGCGCATGACGTCAGCTAGGATATAACTGTCATTGTTATTATTTGTTTTCGTGATTGATGTCTCGAACTTCAGATATTATATAAGTACTAAAATTGAATGAAATGATTTCGAAATACCTACTTATTGTTTCCTTCCTGGTTATGGAAATCCACCTATCATATCATCATCACATTCATATTACAGCACGTATTTCTTCAAAACATTTCCATGCAAAATGTTCCCAAACAAGTGCGAAAGTACGGTCCTTGAATTAAACACTTCCAAAAAATCATTTGAAACAAGATATCATTATTCCTACAGAACATTTCCATGCAAAATGTTCCCAAACAAGTGCGAAAGTACGGTCCTTGAATTAAACACTTCCAAAAAATCATTTGAAACAAGATATCATTATTCCTACAGAACATCTTACGAATACCTATCAAGTCAGAAATAATTGGGAATGAATTTAAAACTAATTTCTCACAAAATATAAATTGCAGCAAAGATTTGAATAACAAAACGGCGAAAATTGATACTCCTGTTGTCGATGTCGGAGCAGAAGCAACGTCAACGAAGTCAACGTTCTTAATCTCTCAGAGTCGACATAGTAGTGTAGTAGTAGTAATTCGTATGTATTCGCTATTTGCGAATGCGAATTACCTCAAGATCGCAATTTGCAGAACAGATCGAGAAACTTATAGAAATTTCCATAAACATGATTGAATTTATTGCGCACGCCCATGTGACTAGCAGTTGGTATTGGTATCTCAGATGACGTCACATAATATGCGCGTAGGCACACCATCTTCTCCTTCCACTATGATATTTCCCGAATATTTCCGAAAATTCATGTGATAAAATGATGCAATTCGATACAAAAACTAAACTTTCTATGCCCAATGCAGTGAAAATGATATCATTCCAAAATTTCATTCAGGAGTGTTTAATACAGGTCCCACCCTGTATATACAGGGTGTCCCTAGACCAGTGGGACAGTTGAATATCTCCTGAAGCAATAGGAATTTTCAAAATATCATATCGCATTATGAGTGCTAACTTCAGAAATGACTATATTTTCTACGAGGGGCGCAAGAAAGGCTCACAAAATCGAACATCAATTTTTTCAAATGGAACACCCTGTATTCCATTGCATTTTCATATTTTCCTTGAAGAGCTGAATTCAACGACCTAGCACACTTTGGGAATTTTTTGTGTCAAAACTATTCATTATTGGTCAAAACGGCTTACATGTCCATATCTTAACTTTTGATTTACTATTCACTCGTATTCAATTGAAACAAATACAGGGTGGTGTAGAATTCTCAGTTTCAGTCAGAAAATGTATTAGATTTGCCAAAACTAATTTACATGAGCTGGAGAAGAATTCTAGTGTGGACAATTACAATACGCGACATGGAAATTTATTGCGGATTCCGGATCACAAATGTGCAAAATATGAGAACTCTCCATAATGATGTGATCAATTTTTACAATAAACTGCCTGTATCCATCAAGAAATCCACTTCTGACAATATATTCAATAAAAGGGTGAAAGAATTGCTAGGTAATAAAAGAATGTTATTATAGTGTAAACGAATTCTTGGACGATGCCATAGTGGAAGGAGATGATGGTGTGCCTACGCGCATATTATGTGACGTCATCTGGGATACCAATATCAGCTGCTAGTCACAGACAGATACCGTTGCCATGGGCGTGCGCAATGAATTCAATCATGTTTATTGAAATTTCTATAAGTTTCTCGATCTGTTTAGAAACTAATTCAATTTGTATAAACAGGTTCCTATTCCTTCGATTTTACTATTTCATTGATTCTGGAAATTGTGATCTTGAGGTAATTTGCAATCGCAAACAGCAAATACATACGAATCATCTCGCGAATCATCATGCATTGCCAATCCCATCTGAATGATCCACTACTGTGTCAATTCTGACAGATTAAAATTCAGCAGTTAACGACGTTGACATTGCTTCTGCTTCGACATCGACAACAGGATTATCAATTTTTGCTGTTTTGTTATTCAAATCTTTGCTGCAATTTATATTTTGTGAGAAATTGAGAGTTTTGAATTAATTTTCGATTGATACTTGATATTCGGAAGATGTTCTGTAGGAATGGCATCTTGTTTCAAATATTTGTGATTTTTTGGAGGTGCATGTGTAATTCAAGAACCGTACCTCATTTTCATATTTCAACGTAATAATTGGTTTAAGACCAAGAATTTATTATTGATTGGATTTAGCCATTTTCGGAGGAAAAGGTGACAGATAGCGATTTTTACAAGAGTACCTTTTTTATGTAAAAGGCATTGAAGAATCATAATCAGATATAAAAATGGTAAGAAATTAAAGCCTAAGAGGAGTAGGGTCAAATTTACCCAAATACCCCCCTGGTTTGTACGCCCCTGGTTAAAGGTGACAAAATCCGGAAGGCTCAAATTGATGAACCTACGAACTAGATTTCATGTCCCAAAATTGGTTGCGATAGCTGCAGTAGTACCGAAGGTATAAAACGAAAAGTAGGTTTTGAAGGTCATCTTCGAAGGGCCCTAGCTCCCTGAAGAAGCGTTTCCGGATCAACTTTTTTTCTTATTTTCGTGTGTTTTATCTACCCTAGAAGTTTGTAACATGATCGCCGGAACACCCTGTATATTCATATTCTTATATTTTTATTTATTTGTTATAATGTACCACAGTGACGAATAACAATTCTTTTTTATTCGATTCAATAATTTTACATTAATTAAACACCCACATCTTAGCCTGCCACACTGCCAATAAGAAGAAGTTCCTATATAAACTTGAGTCTGCTTGGGTCGAAAAAAGCGTCATAAGGGAGCTGAAATTTTATAAGTTTGCCTAAAATCTCGAAAAAAAATCATGCACAAAAAATTGGGGTAATTTTTAACCCACCCTCCCCCAAAGTAACCCTACTGGCGGCTGAAATTTTTCAATAACTCTCACCCCGTCCTATTAAGCATGAAGTTTTCTGAGTATTCATTTTTCTTCTACTGGTTTCGGAGATATTAAATGAAAACTATCTTCAGGCACGCACCTTTAAGGGGCTGTAGCTCCCTTATGAAGCATTTTTCGACACAAGTTTATAAGATTTTTTTATTCTCGAAGTATCTGATGTTGAAGTATGGCAGGCTAATTCCGGGTATATGATCTGAAAATTGGCAACGTTATGCATAAGATGTGGGTGTAACAAAATTTTCAAATCGATTCCACTCGAAAATGATTCATCTGATAGATACGGAACAAGAGCACCATTTTTCTGTAAAACGGTGTGTATTTTCGTAATCCGAGATTAAATTGTCGAAAAATATACATACAAAAATGTTTGAGCAATATTTAATGTTTTCCATTCCTGTATTGAATACTCCTGAATGATATTGTGGATAGATCAAACGAAACCCTACAACTTATGCATTCAAACAATTTTTGTGATACGTAAGATAAAGAAGTTACGAGGTTGCGACTGACTTTCGGTGCTGATTGTATATCGAGTTGTATATTTAGAAGATAGTAGGAGCAAGAACTAAGATTTCCATATACAGGGTGTTTCATAATTGGATGTCAATATTTGGGAAGGCGATTCTTGGTCCCATTCTATTAAGAAAGTTTCATATGAACGTATGACCTAAACCGTCCTAACTTTTGTTATACAGGGTGGTAAAGTTCTCAAAAATGTATAGTCTATTATTAATATCTGTAATACCACTTCAGATATTCTAATGAAATTTGGCATACATGTACTATGTATCAAGAGGCATCAGTTAGTGTACCACATTTTTTTTTGGTTGCCACCAGTGGCGTTTGTATGGAATTTTACATACCTATTTTGGTCCAAGAATCGCCTCCTCGAATATTGACATTCGATTATTAAACACTCTGTATATACCTTCGCTATATGCTCCATTGCAATGTTGAGAATGGAAATGGAATACTTATTTTCAGCATGTGCACCTAGCCCAGCAACCTACTTGATTGAGTTGAAAAATAAACCAAAAGGGACAATTTTACAACAAACCGATCGATCTTCAGAAAAAACTGCCTCTAACTTTGATACCGTTTCAACTCAGAGTGTGCCTTGTTTTAGGACAGTAAGTATTTAAGTTAGTATCTGAAAGAACATTTTTTGATCATAGCAATATTTCAGCCAGTTTTGTTGAAAAAGAAAGGTACTAAAGTGCCCACTCAAAAACCATTGAAACCAAAATGCCTCATCAACGAAAGTTCCGAGAAAGAAGCTTTAAGAGAAAAAATAGTTGAGTGTGAAAACAAAGATGTTTATATTAGAGACTTGACTCAACAGCTTGAAGAAATCAATCAACAAATATGTGATCTGAAAACACAAAAACACATTCTCGACTCAGAGAAAGCTGAGTATGAAAAAACAATTGAGGGGTTGAAAACTCAACATGAAACTGATTTGAGTACGTTAAAATCCAAGCTAGAAGAAAAGTTATCTGAAGTTAATGACAGGAAACTTGAGTTAATTCAAGAAATATTGTTGCTGAAAAATGAGTTTGAGGAATTCAGAGATGTTCACTTGAAACAAATTTTAGAAGTGAAAGCAAATTGTGATGAATTCCCAAGACTATTCAAAAAATCTCTCGAAGAATGTAGGCTCATGTTGGAAGACAAAGAATTCCAACTCAAATATAAAGAAACTGAGCTAAACGCTCTTGAACAAAATTGTATAGAAATTCAAAATAGTCATTCTCTGGAGATAGAGAAAATGAAAAAAGATCATTTGTTGGAAATTCAAGACATGGAGTTTGAAATGTTAAAACTGATGCATGAAATGCAAAAAGAAAGGGACATTGCAGCTTGTAGAATAAAGGAAATTGAAGAAAACATGCAGATTGAGATTTTAGAACTGAAAAATAATTTCAAAAATGAGAAACAACAGATTATTTTCGATTCGAAAAATGAAATTGAACAGGTAACAAGTCTTTCACATGTTTTTAATATTTCAACTAACTACTCATGGTGTTTAATTTCAGGTTCAGATGAAATTGGAACTTTCTAACTCTTTGTTGAAAACAGAACATGATCAAAAACTTCAAGAAGTTGAATTGGATTGGAAATCCAAACTAGAAAATCAACAAAAAGAATCTGCTGCTATTCTCAAAGAATGCCAAGCCATCAGTGAATACAGTATCATTGAGTGTGAAATCGAAAAAAATAAAGTCATATCCGATTTACAACACACCACCGGTGAACTAAAGACTGTTCTACAAAAATACGACCAACTTGTACTGAGTTTCGAAGATCTGAACAAAAAGTACTCTGACTTAGAAACTCACTTAGCTACTGCTTCAAAAGAACTCATCAAAACCAAAGAAGAACTACAAACGGAACTGGACAATAAAAATAAGCAGATCAACAAAATCAAGAAAGAAAATAGTGCTTATGAGGTCACAATAAGACATTCTCAAACCACAATAGAAGTTTTGACTAGACGACTTATACATTCTGATAAAGATGTTGAACAATTGAAAAAGGAACTAGGGCAGTGTGAAGCTAAAATTCTCGAATATGAACAAAAATGTTTGCAGATATCTTCAGACTTGAAACAAGCACAAATGTTCAATGAGGAATTGGAAATGCAGTATGAATCCTCAATCCAGATCAACCGCACTGAAATCAACGATGTGGGTCACAAACTCCACAAGAAAGTGGATGATTATAAAAAAGAAGTGTCTGAACTTTCCAGAAAACTAGATGCCGAGAAGCAGATGAAAAATGAGATCATCCAACAAGTCCATGACGCATTTGACATGATCAGTAGACTGAAGATAGAGCTGGATAACGTCGAAATTTTGCACACTCAGTACAAGTTCGAGCTTGAGCAGTCCCAGAACGAACTTGAAGACTACCATATGAGAGAAATGGATTGGAACATAATCAGGGATAAGTTGGAACATACCATAAAGGATTTGGAAGAACTTTTAGAAGTTAGACATGATGAAATAAGCGATTTGAAGAAGAAGGTTGTTCAACTGAAGGAAACGAATGATTCTTATTGCCAGTATTCTGACTACTACCAGCAAAAAATCAAGGAGTGCGAGAGTGAGCTAGTTGAAACTGGAAATATCCACAAAAAGTACATTGAGATGTCTGGAAAGTACGATGAGCTGTCGCAAAAATTCGAAGAGTTGGAATTGGAAAATTCACAGAACAAGTGCAGAATTTCACAATTGGCAATGGACTCCATGAGAATGGAAGAGTGGAAAGAAAAATATTGCAAACAGGAGGAAGAGTACAATAAGTTGATGAGGAAATATGAATGTTCAGAGAAAGACAAGAATGCTATGGTGAGTGATGTTTCATTCAATTCCACTTATTTATATTTTCTGTTTATAAATTACAGCATGGTCGTTTTAAAATGAGTTCGTCCGTCGTATGAGATTCTCCACCCTGTATAAACATTTCGTTCTGGAAACACTCTAAAAATCAGCCCTTTCAAGTTTGGCTACATAACTAAAACCATTTGTATCTTCAGTAACTTTATTTCCATCGATAATTGAAAATTTAGGAGATATAACGGAAACATTAAAATCTAGTTAACATTATTTTGTTTAAAATCCAACAGCAGCATGTCTGTATGAATATCTTCAATTTTGTTAGCTATTGGGCACTCAATTATTTAAAAGTTTCCCTAGTTTCCAATTACTTTTAGTTCACTGTAAAATTTTGAATTTCACTTCAAGGTTCATCCATTGAAATCGGAAGAGAGTGATTCAGAAAGAGACCAACTATTGAATAGGGTACATCAATTGGAAAACGAACTGAAAGAAGTCTCCCAAAAATATGCAGATCTAGCCGGCCACCAAAATAACAAGCAGAAAATAAAACATCTGGTGGATTTGAAAACGAAAAATGAGGAATTAGTACAGGTTAGTAGGTATATTTTATTTTATATGAAATTGATAGTCATATGATCATTAGTGTGAATATATGATTTCAAAAGACAGCTTATAGTTTCCATATGAAATGTTATACATAAACTATATGTTCTCATATTTTTCTACCAACTGAAAAAAGTAGGAAATAAAATAATAAAAGCGATAATAAAAGTGTGTTGATAAATACACACTATAAGAAATACTGATTAAGGATCGAGGTGCTAATATTTTAATCGTTGTGTATTTATCTACACTTTCATTTTTTTTGCTTCTCTTCAGTTTGGCTGTCTATAATAGCATGTTTTTTCATTTAGTATTTTAAACTACAAAGGTATATATACGTCCCAATTTTCATTATCATTAATATTGTAATGCTCTTTCATTCTGCACTGGTCAAAATATTTTCAATGTTATAATTTTCTTCTTAAGCCCCATCTGTAACTAAGGTCATTTCACCATTATTCGAGGCTTTCTTAATTTCGTATCTTGCAACTTCCTTATCAGCCTTCTTCTCTTTCCGCCTTTGTTTGATTCCTTATTTGGTATTTCGGTACAGTCGAATACTGGAATCTTTTAGCGTTGTTCTCATTATATTTCTATTACCAAACACCGACACACAAAATAGGTCAAGTCAAGTCTACCTTCTTAATAAAGCGAAAAAGTGGGTGTCGATAGCTGGTACAGCTTTAACTTATTATAATTTCTTTTGAATTCTTCAAACGAACAAGACTAATTTTTTTTGAATTCTTCAAACGAACAAGACTAATTTCTTTTGAATTCTTCAAACGAACAAGACTAATTTCTTTCTGTATTTGTATATTCATAGGGAAGCTGTATTGTACCATTTATCGACTCCTATGTCGCCTGCTACCTTCCTTGGAAGTTGTAACCGTTTATCAGGCTCCCTCTTCGGAAACTTCATTTCATAGGAGTACTTGGTGCAGGCACGTTGCAAGACACTGCCGTGTCTCTGGATCTGAAAATCGCTAATCGGTCCTTGATAAGTGTGCAAAGTTTTAATTTATCTCGACTTGATTGACGAAATCAAAATCACCCGTCTCTCTGGATGTATAACTATTCATACGAGTGCTTGGTGTTAGACACAGCCGTGTATATGAAAAAAAGCATTGTAGTTATTCTGGTGGTTTGAAATTTTGGTGAAGAAACAGCATTCATCATTTTGTTCGAGAAAAAAATAGCTCATCCTAAATATCCAGATCAAGATGATGGAACTAAACTATTAAATTATGCTATTGTCATCGGTTTTTGATCAGTGTGCGAAGTTTCAGGGTCTCTAGCAAAGAATATTAACGCTACTCACGAACGTCTTTAGTATAAATGATCGTAGCATATCGTAGTGACCGTTGACATATTTCGTTGATTTGTCGTTTTCCACATATGGAAATCGAACTACACCTTCGGTCGCTTCAATAGTTGCGTTTTATCCATTCTGGTAAAGGTGGTGGGAACAGAATGACGTTTACAAATAAAACGAGAAACTTCATGAACCTGCTATCCTTCCATGAGTGAAATTGACATATTATAGGTGATAAAGGTTATCTTTATGTATTGGGACTCCAAATAATTTCAAAATCATAATACCATAGTTGAAAATTAAGAAAATGAATCAATTCATATTTGGAGCAGTGATTTTGGTGATTGGAGAAAGTTCTCTGAGATCGAGAGAATACATTTAATCTGGGAATGGAGATATAAAAAAAATATAAATATTTCTTTTTTCTACCACTTGCTATAAAACCTACCATTATTTACTCCTTAATGAGGCGTAAAGTGTGTTTTTACGCCGGCGGAAGTAAAAGTTAGTTTCTCTGGTAGCAAAAGAGGGGCAGAAGTCTCGTATTATTCCCTAGGGAGACGATGTGGTAAATTTTCTCCCTAGGAAGTTAATACTTACTTTATATTTTCGCATAGCTCTAAGCTTTCTTTTCGGAACACCCTTTTCTGAAGCCAGTATAAGCTGCATCATACATATTTCTAGATCTCACTGGTAGAAGGTTAAGAATCACTGCAGAAGCAGTATCAATAGTTTCTTGGGGTTTCCCTCGATTTCTTGTTCCATAACCGTTAACCATTTTCAAAGCTGTTTTCATAAATTTCAGTTTGATATTTGCTGTCACCATGGGTTGTCAACAAGATGCATGTTGTCAAAAGATACGAATTCCACAAACTATAATACTACTAATTATGACAAAACACTTTGACCAAATTTTTATTCTTTCTTAATTTTTGTGTTTTCACCAGCGTAAAAATTAGAACATACACCTCAGGACAGAATGCTATTTTTCCCTCGGTTCTTTGTTTCTCTTGGGTTTCTCCCTCGAACTACAGGTCGCCCTTTTAAAAAATCATGCATTTCTGCCCCTTGATGTATTGTCACGAGTAGAACATACGGTATATCAGTAATTTCGAACCATGAGGGTTTTATAAACATAAAGTAAATCAAATCATCCGTTGACATTGAATTATAAAAACTGACCAAGGAACTCTCATGAGAAACGTGCAATTCTAATAAAATGATGTATATAAATATTGGATGTGAGGGTTCCGAAGTTAGTCTGGTCTGGGGCTACTCTTGACTTGACAATAGCTCGTCGTAATGGTCATTGAAAAATATACGTTGTGTCAGTACATGAAATATTGTAATTTAAACATATTTGGAGCCATTTGGTACTCGACTCATTAGTATATCTTACATTCTGCTTTTTTTAACTGCAGCTCGAGCATGCAGTATCCAATATTTCAGACGCAAATTGTTCACAACAGTCTCGATTTCAAAATGGCCAGATTCCATGTGAAAATGATCTACTAGCAGCTGGGTATACCTACACATCGGGTCCAAAACTATGGGATACTTTGCATCATATTCAATATCAGCTTTATTTGAGAATCTTCTTGTTTCTCGTTTCACTACTGGTACTTTGTCAATGTGAAGCAATTTATGATGCTTTCCCCTGCATCCATTCTCTCCACACCTGGACCTTTGATGGGAACATCGACTCGCCATGTGTCCCGGTTTCAGGCAAATGAAACAAATCTTCAATTCTAAGGCAGTGGATCTTCTTTCCTCAATAGGTTTTTTGATAAAATCTCCACACTCTGAATTGCTGTGATTCCTTTTTTTACAGAAAAGGCAGATGGCGGCTTCTTCTTCCCTATCTGTTGGTTTTCTTTTCGAAATCATGACAGTCTCTTTTCTTGTGTTGCTGCTTCTTGCTGCAAATGGGTTACTGATGGATGCCATAAGGTTAACTTCTTCCTCGAGCCAACTCGAAAAATCATCCAAAGAAACTTGTTGACCCTGATTTTCGAGAGCATTTTTTTTCTTGCCCCAACCATACCTTTGAATGAGAGGAAGTTTGTCGACCAAGTTTGATAACATCTCGGGATTGAAGAGATATACTCCACAACTGGCATTTTTCATAGACGATACCATATTTGTCACAGTATTCGAAAACGCAATATAGGATTCTAGTTTGTCATCCTTGATAGAGCTCATCTTTTTAGCCTTTTCCATTAAAGACAAGACAATCCACTCTGCTCTACCGAAGTTCATTTCCAACATCTTGATGATTCTGCCTACATTTACTGGAGAAATCAACAAGGTCTTCACTGTCTCTCTAGCTTTACCTTTTAACGCTCTGTCTAAGCGCAGCAGGTTCTCTTCATCAGTTAGACTATACAGTTCAGTAGTGCGTTTAAACTCACTTATAAAAATGGGCCAGTCTGTCAATTCTCCTGAAAAGTGGCTCAGATCTCTAATCTTTTGGCGAATCAATAGTTTATTCATAGCAGCAGTATTCTCCATGCATTGTTTCGTTACATCATTCATGAAATTACTGTCTGCTTTTCCACATTGCCTTATTCCATCTGAATATTGACAGAATAAAGAATCCACCTGATCACTAAATTGACTTGCATCACGTATTTGTTTGCTTTTGCTTCCATTTTCTCTGTCAGAGTGTCTAGCATCGATAGTAACACATTTTTTGGCATCATCTACCCATTTATTCAAAAAAGTGCTGCTACCATATAAGCTTCCAGAATTATCCACTTGACTTCCGCTACGTGAATCAGCTTTCTCTAACAGTTTCTTCTGAATATCCATTTCTTTTGCTAAATTTTCTCGCTTCTTCTCTATAGCTTTCAACTTTTCCTCGGCTATCTTCTGCTTTTCTGCTGCTTCTTCTTCATCGAGCTGCTTTTGCATACGAAGCATATCGAGTTCAAGATTCAATTTACTAACTTCAGATCTATTTGAAAATTCAGACCCTTTTTGTGATGGAATGGATGGAATTCTCATCGACGTATTGCGGAATACAACGTCAGACCTTGTTTCCCTTCTAACAGATCCTGCATTTTCAAAGGAAGTTCCCACTCTCTCCAACAGATTGTTTTCAGATATTTGTCTCCGAGATAAAGCCATGTCACCTTTTTGCACTCTAGCCGCAACGACGCTAGTAGTAGGTACATTTAAATCAGGTCTCTTATCCATTACAAATTCAGAAAACTTTCGAGGTGGAATACCTTTGTTACATCTGCTGCTCCTGCGACGTTGACTTCCTACTTCTTCGATACCTGAGTTTGACTCCATAGCGCGTTCGTTTGATAATCGAAGGACCAGAATGTAAGATATACTAATGAGTCGAGTACCAAATGGCTCCAAATATGTTTAAATTACAATATTTCATGTACTGACACAACGTATATTTTCAATTCAAAATTGACATTAAAACTCAAAGTCAAAATCCTGCCAAAAATACATAATACAGGGTATAAAATATGAGGATTATAACAAGAACTGGTTTATCTTCAGAATAGCCCTAACAGTCATTATAATGTAAGTTGTTATTAGGTCTTTATATTCATTGTTGTTTATTCATATTTATAATCACTTCACCCATAGTGTTTCATGCTATTATAAATATTGTTATGTTTGAATGTAGTCTCGTACTTTCAGTTACCCCTAAACATTAGTGCCTATTCGAATATTACCTCTCGCAAAATATTAAGCCAAGCATACCCCTTATAAATCGATATGGATGGAAACCACACTTTTGTTGTGACATGGTGGAGACGCCGGTACTATTTCACTATGAAAGTAGTTTTCGTCATTTTATGGACCACTAGTCAATAAAGACATAGCCACCTCTGTTGTAATTCACCTGAATTCACTGTTCTGATGCGAGATACGCAGAAATGTGGGTATTTATCGATAACAACTCGTCATATGTTGTTATGGTCATGGCATAAAATAGAATAGAATAGAACAGATGTATAGAAAGTTATGACAACTAGATATAATATTGGTGCCTCGCGATATAATCTTGGTCCCTGGGTGATAATGATATTATTTACTATCTTGGTGTATAATCAACTATAAATGTCTCCTACTTTCGAAGAGTATAAATGAAATGAATTTTGTGACAACTGTAAACAGTCATTCACGTCATTCCTTGTTGTGGGAGGAATGAAAAGTAGCAACCGGAACCAGACAGCGGCACTATTTCAAGCTAATAAAAGCGCGGTAAAAATTCAATCGTCCTGTATTATCAGCTGATCGAGCACTTTTCGGCATTTTTCAGAACAACACTGAACTAGAGGCGAAAATGAAGTACCATCTGAAGACGATAGAAAAACTGAAGAAGGAGAACTGTGACCTGAAGAAATGTATGAAGAAAAACAAACTCACCAAAGAAGACAAGGAGAATTTCGGCAGTCCCAATCGATCGTTGAACTCGAGCAGAATCGAGTCGCCATTTCGAGACAGGAACTGAGAACTCCAAACGATTTTTCCACAGAATTTATTTATTGTCTAAGAAGTTAATTTATTCGAATGTGAGTAGGAAGACCTTGGTAGCTTTGATGTTGATTTTGAGTGTCACCCATTTCTATCGGAATTCAATGCAGAACTACTCCGAGTATATTTGAGGTTATAGAGTGATGAAGTTAGAATTTTTTTAAAATCTTGAATGTTCTAAAATCATGTTCGCAAACGTTATATACTGCGTGTCAACGAAACTATTAGACAAGTCATTACTTCTAGAATATACATCATATACAGTTTGACCCACTTCTAATGGAAACACCCCTGTATCTTACGTAATTGTTGGGTAAGGATCCTGAAATTCGCTGGAGCAAAAGATATACCAAAAATGCACTTTATGACGAAGTGGGGTGATCTCCCAGTGATATACACTGCTCGCCAACAGCCATGGAACCACCACAATTTCCGTAAAATGATATTAGGAGTCAAAATAGGTCGAAAATCACTTCAGATTCGGAATCAGGACGCCCAATTCTCTAACTATTCATAGTTTTCCTAGGAAATTTTCAGTTCAGAAAAATTAAATTTTGTCTCACTTCTTCACTCACTTCTCATGGAAGAACCCCCGTATCTCACGTAACTATTGAGGTAGGGTTCTGAAATTTGCAGGAGGAAAGAAGAGTCCAAAGATAAAGTCAATTACGTAAGATACTGGGGGCTTCCGTGAAAAGTGCGACCAAATTTAATTTTTCAGAACTGAAAATTTTCCAGGAAAAATATGAATAGTTAGAGAATTAGGCGTCCTGATTCCGAATCTGAAGTGATTTTCGACCTATTTTGACTCCTAATATCATTTTACGGAAATTGTGGTGGTTCCATGGCTGTTGGCGAGCAGTGTATATCACTGAAGATGACCCCACTGGGTCATAAAGTGCATTTTTGGTATATCTCTCGCTCCAGCAAATTTCAGGATCCTTACCCAACGATTACGTAAGATACAGGGGTGTTTCCATTAGAAGTGGGTCACACTGTATACAGAGAGTCTAAAAATTTAGAGAAAGAGATAATTTCGTTACAAATGATGAAATAACTGGTTAATTTTGTTTTGCTATTTTTTTTTTATTTTCTTCATCTTGGGAAACGCTTTACCAAGGTAGTTGAAGTTTATGATTATTTAATATAATTGGAACACAGGACCCAGTAACAAAATCATGAATTTGTTGAACATTCCTGAAAGCTATTGTGAATGTAATCTGGAGTCTGAAGCAGTTTCTTCATTAAGGATATAATTTAAGATATTTATAAACAGTGAATGATCACAATTTCTTCAGATCTGATTTTTTGTTGACCGGTTTTGTAATATTTTATGATCTCATCAAATGTTCCATCTTCGTTAGTTATTTTTAAACAAAATCATTAGGTGCTAAAATAACAGTCAAACATTTTATTTCGCACTTTTTTCAAGTTACTGTCACTAATGAATATACCATTTGTTTAGTACACCTCAATTAATCTGTATGCCAAAAATGTTTTAAAGTATTTGTACCTATAGTATATTTTCCTGAAAAAATGTACTTACAAATTTGTTGTTTCATTGAAATTCAATAGAAAACACCTAATATCCAGTTAATTGGTCTCGTACTGTCTGTTAGTTTATTTAGGAATATTTGCTCACGTCATATTTGCCCAAAGTAATTTCTTCATTTGACCATTCAATGGGTAAGTGTCCTTTAGATGAATTTTCATGAAATAAGTTCGGAACTCTCCCGTTTTATGTCCACGCTGTACGGAATGGCGACCGATATGGTCGTTTTAATTTTCAAATTAAAGCAATTTCTGATTTGCGGGGCGGCGAACTATGACGTACATTCTGAATCTAGTCTGAAAGTAGCTGATGGTGAAGAATATAACTAGCGAATAGCTAACGAATGAAAAACGATTGAAAAGAATTGAAGAAGAAGTAAAATTGGTAAACATAAACATACATAACCAAAAATGCACTCGGGGCAAGAATGCAGAAGGTAGTTGGCTTCATTCTGACTGGTTATGGTTTTGTTATTTATGCATTGAAATATCTCGAATAGAGCTCGATCCTAAACGAAAATATCATTGAATCAATGAATCACTATTGGCTACATTCAATGAGACTATCCTTCCTCACTTCCTGCCATCGGTCAGAACAGAATGAAGCCGACACCCATGGCACCTTCCTCTTGTTGTGCCTGTCAGTATTTTGAGTGGTGTAGACGGACTCGAAGTATTAAGCGCTGTTACGAGATATAATCTGCAACTTTCCTAGAAAATAGTTCCTTTTTTTAAAGGAACTAATTCATTTGCAAGGAAATAACACAAGTTATGAATAACATATTATAATATAACGATAGTGAAAAATTATAGACACTATCGCAAAATATCATAATTTATCTTTATTAGTAGGTAATCAACTTCTACAGCCAATGAGAGATTTATGGGAATTATTCATAATACTTGACAAATTAGGATTGAAGAACCTATTATATCCCATTGCTGTTATGATATAGTTATTATGCATTCTAGCAACAATTTCCGGAAATCTAGACATATTGATGATGTCGGCAACGTCTTACTGGCACAGAATCGTATTTTAACTCTGTGTGAATGTGGATTTTCAGAAAGTACGTAATACGAATGGTGGAGGAGCCAAGTTCCTCTTTTATTTTTTTTTCTGAAGTGAAATTTGGGCTATATTCCGACTTCAACTGGTGTTAAGGCATCCTTTCACCTTTATATAGTTTTAAGTTAGTTTATAGTTTTACATAATAAATAATTGATTAATAATCAATTTTCTTCAAAATCAACTCAAAGCAATACTTATGCATTTGAATATTCATAAATAACTACAATTACTTGCGCGGCATAGAATACTTCCCCTGCGCCGACGCAAGTCAAGAAGAAGAAGAAGCAAGGCTTGAATCAACGAGCACAGGTGGTAACGGTGTAAAAGGGAGCCATAACTATTTTTTTTCTGTGTGTATGAAGAGGACAGTGGTTTTCTCGGTGCTAATACCCGCTATATTTTTGTGTGTTATTTACTTTCGGTCATACACACGGAACCGGGATCATACAGGACTCGGTTGCAAAAGTGAGTGCCTACCAGCCGGAGCAAAATAGCCTGTTTTTGCCACATTCACTGATACGGGCCACACCAACATTCACGAGGTTCGAGGTAGGTGGAAGTTATTCGCGCCTTTTTATTTTCGAAATTCTTACATTTGGGGTTCATACCCGTTCAACTGGTCAGTACTGTCAGTGGATCCACTGACTCTGCCGAAAATCTGTGTTCCGAAATATAAAATCAAAAATTCACTACTGTAATTCGGGACACGTTTTCATGGTTTTCATCAGTAGTAGTTTCTCGTTTATCTGAACCAGATGTTCAGCCTCCTACTTGTTGTAAATTTTGGAAATTCAATATTTAACATAGAAGAGAAATCGATTCTTGTATCCTCTATAGTTTCTACGACGATGGCGATTCAAGCTCGAGTGATGAAGAATACTTGGACATTTTGTTGTCATAAATTTCTCATGATGCACCAGATTGAGAATTGAGATTCATGAAAATCGCAATATGCCTTAATAATGATGAATTTTAGGAGACAACTTAGATTTATTTAGCCAATGCTGCTCCTTTCCTTACCTGCTCTACTACTTCATACTCCAGGTATTTTCTAATATTGAGAATCATTTCATTAACAACGGAAATGAATGTTACATTCCTTCCCCCTCTGAAATATGACAGTTCACTGAAGCCACACTATACCTTTTGATACTCAGCAATTCCAGCAGAATGTTGAGTCGAAATATTTGGAATGAATAGTATGTCTGCTGACAAGCATCTGTCACTTCCAGTGAATTTTTTGATTTCGGAATGGAAAATCAGCAGATTTAGTACTGTCACTTGAATTCTGAATATAGCATTGATCTTACGAAAATAAGAAAAAATACACATATATTAATTTTTCACACTTCAAACTTCCCCATTCTTAGTGTTGTCCATAGGTATATGGAACACCCTGTCTGTTCCGATGCAGAATGATTGGATCTCATCTCAAGGAAGATGTAAAAAATGTATGATATTTTATTTGAATAACGAGACACGTGGGCTAGATGAAAACCCACGACATCTCATTAAACTTTTTAATTCATCTAGAGCTATCAGGCGGTATAGTTTATAAGTCTGTTGCAGTTTATGAGAAACGAACGTCTTTCCATAATGAGTTTCCATACACACTAGGGAATAATTTTCCAATGAAAAATTCATCTGAAAAATATAACTTACAGTTGAAAGAGTCTAGAAGAGAAAGTTTCGTTGCCAAGATTGGCCTAGACCTCACCATTCCATAGAATATCAGTCGTCAGACGAGGTAGATATATTTTTCGGCAACAGTGCTCACTTCTTGGACGCTTTTTCTTTGAGAAATTAACAGTTTTTTGGACTCGCAGACTTCGCCTACGGCTCGGCCTAGCATTTTGTCTACTCATCCAAAAAAAAAACACACTTACACAAAATGCGTTCCCTAACGTGTTATGCACCAATTTTTTTTTTTTAATCTTGATGAAAAAATCCGCTTGAACAAAAATAATGATAATTAATATAAATGGTCACAAATCTGCGACAAAATTCACGAATTAGACTCGTTTGATTCCTTCGTCAGTGGAGAATGGCTGATTCAAGTCCAGATTTCTCAAGTGATATCGAGGAAGCATCACAAGATTGCACTGTTCTTTTCATCCATTAATATTTTTATCACATAACTGATGGTGTTTAAATGAACATTTCATCACCAATTATGTAATATTTTACTTTGAGCAACTGATTACGTATAGTAAGTAGTTTCAAAACTTCCGTTGTCCAGTCCATTGCTTATTAACCTTCGTTTCACGTTCATTGTCACGCTTAACGCAGAATGAATGAATTGTTCTAAAAGATGGATATGCTTCATTTTTATACTTCATGGAAATATGAAAGTACCAGAACGTTCTCTTCGATTTCACTTTCTTCTACATTTCGCATATTTTTAATGAATAATTCTGATACAAACGAATATTGTTTGAATAATTCTGATACGAAATTTAAAAATAACAGGTGACAGTTGATACAATTGACAGGCCAGACATGTCTCAAATTACTGAAGCTGTGTTTAATGAACTGTGTTGCCATGGTAATGTGTTAAAGAAATCGTGTTGTCATGGTAACGTGTTTAATATTTCGAATAAATCAGATCAATTCGTGATTGATCGACCATTTAGCGTGGTATATATATATCCGTACGCTAAATGCCATTTTAGTTATATGAGTAGAAAATAATATATTATGTAACCAGTGTTATAAACGTCCTTTTAGTAACGAGTATATTAAGCACGAGCGGAGCAGAGCGGAGCAGAGCGGAGCGAGTGTTTAATGAACGTGTGTCTAGAAGAGTTTATAAACGCGTTACATACTATGATTTTTCTACAAACTCCGAAAATTACATTAACATACCTGCTATTCCTGCTAACCTATAAAATAATTCGAAAGGAATGGGAATTGAGAACATAATACATGCAATAACTGCATATATGCAACCAGCGAGACACGTATAAGTGATATTGGTTGTAGATGTATCCAGTCCATTGCTTACTAACCTTTGTTTCACGTTTATTGTCATGCTCAGCGCATAGATTAATTGAATTAAATTGTTCTCAAAGATAGATGCCTCATTTTTACACTTCTTGGAGATATGCAAGTATCAGTATAGACCATCTTGAGTTTTACAAAAACTGCGAAAACCGTAAGGTTCTATCTCCAAAGATAACTGAGATATCACCATTGAGTATTCACACTAGTATCACCCAAAAGCATCGAAAACTGGACAAACTGTACTTTCATAAGAAAATAAAAATACTGAGCATTTCTGAAAACGTCCAAATAGGTAGATCCCTCTTATATCTACATATATGTCCTCTTTTGAGTAACTTGAGTGTTTAAATTCTCTACATATAGAGCCTAACTTGTACACGTTATCAGAAAGAGAAGGTCAAAGTACGACATCTTTATTCAAGCTCTATACAGCGTGTTGCATTATGGTAAGAGGAAATAATTCACTAAAAATTTAATAATATCATCTATCGACTTATCTCAGACTGAATTAACTAAAAAGTTAATGAAATTGACATTGACAGCAAAAATAACCAATCTTATTGAATCAAGCGAGGAATCGGTATATCCATTTAGTGGTTCAGTGCACTCAATTTGGTATCCCCCCATTTGAAGTTTTCTTGTGTCATAAAGTAAGCCATCCAATAAAACAAGTTGAAGAATCCAAAAGACGCTGGAAAAACTATCCTTGCAGCTCTGTCGATCAGTGAAACGCTGTTCACGTGCCTCATGTGATGATGATGTCCATGATGATTCCCTACAAAAAAAAGTTTTTTCTCAAAATGACATCGAAAGTGGCTTTTCAATAACAGTCCACAGGCAGAAAATGTTTACTTTTACTGCCTAGGCAGATCTTGTACATTTCTGCATAGTGAAACAAATATTAACTATTCTCTCTGTGACGGTAAACAATTTCATCTCTGTTGATAGGTTATAAAATGTCACTTTTCATAAATTAGTTTTAAAAAAGGCGCGGCAATATTTAAGGAGGTGCCTTCTACGAAGCCCTGGGAGTTATAACTCGGAATTTTGGATGTAAAATTCCGACTTATAACTCGGAATTTTACATCAAAATTCCGACTTATATATTATTATTAAATATCTTCTCACGGATTTCTTTGAAATTGGGCAACGTTGTTTCGAGTGATGAGGGGCTGATTTTGCCATAAGTAGATGAAAAGTAATATAAACAGTGGCGATATGATGGGGAAGGCAATTTTATGGAATTATTGAAAACATGTACGTCACTGACTTTAATTCAATTTCGATAATGCCCTGAGATAGAGCTACTGAAACTACAACGTTTTCGTTTCTTGGAATTTTCGCATATCTAGGCTTGCTTCGTTCACTAGATAAAAAATAAAAACTAATTTTATTGCATGTCATGTTCATACAAAACATTTACATAAACTGTTGAAAGTGACCACGTGCACAATGACTTCACGTGCCATTCGAATGCCAATCATTTTGTATCCATCTGTCTATGTCTATCAATCTATCAAATTTGTTGAAGTTCCGTAACATGAATCATTAAAAAAAAACTTTTACACCCTGTATCTTGGAAACAATGCATTTCCGGACCTACATTCATGTGGAAACTTTTTTTCATAAAACGATCTGAGGAACCACCCCTTTAAATATTGCCGCGTCTTTTTCAAACACCCTGTATATCACATATAGAGAGAATTTGCCGAAATTTCCATGAGGGGCGTGAGACATTTCATAGTGCATAGTGCATAGTGCCACTTTGGAAGTCAGCAATCAATGAATGAGTGTTATGTACTGATTTTAATATACAGTATGATGCAAATGTATAGAATAAATTCATTTCAAAACAAGACGACTTCCGAAAAAAATCCAAAAAGTAGAGTTCAGAACTTTTTTATCGATGTATTTTTTCAACTAGACGACCCTTCGATGTTCAATTCTCAGTAGAAGATCTCTGCAAGATTCAGTTAACCGAATGATAATCCATTTTAATTTCAATCTTCTTTTGCAAAATTTTGACTATTGGATAGACGATCAGTAGACCTTTCAAACGAGGTGTCACATGACCCCTGTTTGTATTTAAAAAAACCGTCCATTACGTCATTACTCCAACACCGGTGACGTAACATCTCTCATATGAATGTCATGAGATGAGGTTTCAAAAATTAAAACTCACGTGTTTTTGAAATTTCTTCAAATGTCGCCCATTTCTGAAATAATGAATTTATTCCATACATTTGCATCATATACTGTACATCTTAGTGACGCGAATCGAATGACTATTCGCAATTTTCCGCAATGGGAATGGTCGTTACCTTTCGATACTGCTTACCTAGGTATTATCGCGCGGTAAGCGTTTTCTTAGCAAATTATAAAGGAAATGACGTCTATGAACTATATGCTATGAACTCCGCTGACCTGATCGAAACTACAATGTACCGAATGTTTTAATGTGGAAAAGTGAATTGATGATGAAAGATCTTGAAATGAACGAGAGTGTGAGTAATGTTAATTCATAGGCATTTGTACTTCTTGACAATATGTTCGAAGCACTCTATACCTACCTCTACCTAATTCACTAGCTGCAGCAGCTTCTCGTTGTCTCTGTCTCCTGAATTTGTCATCACCTTTGAGGCAGTACAAAAATTGCTTCCATTTGGGCAGCTTGTATTCGGTTTGAGTCGTTCTCTCCATGGTTAATCTCAGTGGTGGAGGTGGAGTAACTTGAGTGGTGAGGGATGTCAGCGAAGTTTTTCTACTTTCGTAGTGTAGTGTGCTGTTCTGCAAAAGGTCAACTTGGTATATAGTCTATTCATTCTGAAAAAAATGTCAGGGGGTGAGGGAATGGTTTCAACCCTTCTACAATTGCTCTCGGGTGTCTTCGATTACTGAAAGAAGTGTTATCCTCTATAATAAACATTTGTCAAATTTCATCCATTTTGTTTCAATCATTTTTGAACAGCGTACAAAAATGTATTTTTTTATGTTAACTTTATACTCCTCTCAAGACCAAACGGTACATTCTTCTATATACGGTATGATGCAAATGTATGGAATAAATTCATTTCAAAACAAGACGACTTCCGAAAAAAAAAAAAAAAACTAGAGTTCAGAACTTTTTTATTGTGTATTTTTTCAACTAGACGACCCTTCGATGTTCAATTCTCAGTAGCAGACCTCTGCAAGATTCAGTTAACCAAATGATAATCCATTTTAATTGCAATATTCTTGTGCAAAATTTTGACTGTTGGATAGACGATCAGTAGACCTTTCAAACGAGGTGTCACATGACCCCTGCTTGTCTTTGAAAAAATCGTCCATTACGTCATTACTCCTACACCAGTGACGTAACATCTCTCATATGAATGTCATGAGATGTGGCTTCAAAAATTAAAACTCACGTGTTTTTGGAATTTCTTCAAATTTCGCCCATTTCTGAAATAATGAATCTATTCCATACATTATTTGCATCATACTGTATAAATAAATTGGTTTCAATCAACTGTTCATCCTAGATCTCTTTCATGAGATATCTAGTTCTTCGACAATGGATGTGTCAGTGAACTGGGACTCACATTATAAATCGGAGAGATGATGGAACTCCTTTCAGCAGATCCATTTCTTCTAAACTAGTTTTACCATAATGGGTTGCATTATATGCTCTCAGAGCGCACGAGTTTTCTCTATGGTATTTGCTATTAGTTCGAAACAGAGGTCGCTAGCTGACAAAAAATGTGGTCAGTATATAAGAACGATTTTCTTAATTTTTTTCTCAAATTAGCAGACAATATTAAACCTCTCGCCTAACTATATGTTTCAGAACGACAATGAATGGCGTCAGATAAAGTCATGTTATCGCCATCTAGTGGATTAGTTTTGAGGTAGGATCACGCCATACACAGTAGAATGCTGTCATCTATAGTCAACAAGTGAAGACCCCTACGTCTACACGTTACAAAGTGGTACTACAAGTAAAAAACTCTGCTAACAGATAGCACTACCAGACTACTTCAGTGGAATGAATCACCAGTCATATTCAAAGGACTAGATCTCTTGACATAGATGACAGCGTCCTATTAGGCAATGATATGGGTGATATACCCGGAGCGTTGAGTTGTCATTTGGCCGAAACACTAATGTATCTGTTCATATCCTAGATCTCTTTTATGAGATCTAGTTCTTCGACAATGGACGTGTTGGTAGACTGGAGCTCACATTATAAATCGGACAGATGATGGAATACCTCTTTCAGGCTCTGCCGTCCAGAGTGGTCATTTCCAGCAGATCCATCTGAGCGCTGCCAATGTTTCTTCTCAACTAGTTTTACCAATGGATTGCATTATATGCACTCAGTGCGCACGAGTTTCCTCTTTGGTATTTGCTATTTGTTCGAAACAGAGAGGTCACTATAGCATACTAAAAATTTGGTCAGAAAGAACGATTTTCGCAATTTTTTCCTCAAATTAGCAGAAAATATTAAACCTCTCGCATTACTATGTTTCAGAACTACAATGAATTGCGTCAGATAATACAGTCATGTTATCGCCATCTGGTGACTCAGTTTTAAGGCATGCTTACGCCATATACAGTAGGATGCTGTCACCTATAGTCAACAACTGAAGACCCCTACGTCTACATGTTACAAAGTGGTACTACCAGTAAACCACTCTGCTGACAGATGGCACTACCTGACTATAGTTGAGTGGAATGATCCACCAGTCCTATTCAAAGGACGAGATCTCTTGATATAGATGACAGCGCCCTATTGTGTGATATGGGTGATATACCCGGTCATTTGGCCGAAACACTAATGTATCTGTTCATATCCTAGATCTCTTTTATGATATCTAGTTCTTCGACAATGGATGTGTCAGTGGACTGGGGCTCACATTATAAATCGGACAGATGATGGAATACCTCTTCCAGGCTCTGCGCCGTCCAGAGTGGTCATTTCCAGCAGATCCATCTGAGCGCTGCCAATGTTTCTTCTCAACTAGTTTTACCAATGGATTGCATTATATGCACTCAGTGCGCACGGGTTTCCTCTTTGGTATTTGCTATTTGTTCGAAACAGAGAGGTCACTATAGCATACTAAAAATGTGGTCAGAAAGAACGATTTTCGCAATTTTTTCCTCAAATTAGCAAAAAATATTAAACCTCTCGCATTACTATGTTTCAGAACTACAATGAATTGCGTCAGATAATACAGTCATGTTATCGCCATCTGGTGACTCAGTTTTAAGGCATGCTTACGCAATATACAGTAGGATGCTGTCACCTATAGTCAACAAATGAAGACCCCCTACGTCTACATGTTACAAAGTGGTACTACAAGTAAACCACTCTGCTGACAGATGGCATAACCTGACTATAGTTGAGTGGAATGATCCACCAGTCCTATTCAAAGGACAAGATCTCTTGATATAGATGACAGCGCCCTATTGTGTGATATGGGTGATATACCCGGTCATTTGGCCGAAACACTAATGTATCTGTTCATATCCTAGATCTCTTTTATGAGATATCTTATTGTTCTTTGACAATGGAGGTGTCAGTGGACTGGGGCTCACATTATAAATGGGACAGATGATGGAATTCCTCTTCCTGGCTCTGCCGTCCAGATTGGTCATTTCCAGCAGATCCGCCTGAGCGCTGCCAATCAGTTCTTCTTCCGACTCGTTGCACTCCTCCCACTCGTCCTCGGTCATGTGGACTTCCCCGCTGCCTACTTTAGTGAAGTAGTGAACTCCGGCGAACTCCAGCAGAGTGGCTATGCAGTAGAAGAAGCTCATGAGGAGGAACCAGTCCAGAGCTGTGGCATATCTGAGAAAAATATTAGTGCCAAAAAATACTTTTTTCTACGGCTATAACACAAAATTGCTCTTGTTCGATACATCAATGAGGTACTTTGTATGTTATCAATTTTATTTCCGTATCTGATATCACATTGTGTTATTATTTCAAAAAAATCTCATCGTCATGAAATGTCAAATTTTAAGCTATGAATGAGCCACATTCACTGTTTTTTACGGTTAGGTAAACGAACTTATTATATTAAGCGTGGTGGATCAAAACATATTAGTTATTTATGAATCAAGGGCGTGCAATTGGCCTCTCAAAGAACGATAGAAATACGTACGTCATGTCTTCAGTGACGAATATCATCATAGAATCAACGTTATTACCAAGGTAACTCAGTAATTTTTTTGAATTGGGTAGACTATCATATTTCCTGTCAATTAATGTCATCATAAACACCTTATTTTTGGTTCGATCATATCATTTTCCATCTCAGAAATATCAAGAGAACTGTACTATTAGATGATGAGCCATCACAATTGAAACATAAATGTCCTGAATTATACAGGAATGCTTATTAATACGAGTTACCCATAAGCCGTAGTTCACGGGCGGTAAAGTGTCACTTTACATCCGAAAAACTGGGCGGTAATGTTCTACTTTACGTCCGATCGTGCATGAAAGTAGTTTGTACCTAACTTTGGGCAAATCTGTTCTGGAATCCAGACTGATAGTGGACAGAGTGAGCACAGTGGTTATCCCCAATCCCACTCTGTCGCTAGTGGCTTCTCTATGAATCCAGAACGATACCCAGGATAACACGACAATCAGGATGCAAGGGACGTACACTTGGATGAGAAAGTATCCAGTGTGCCGCTGGAGGTTGAAGGATACCTGGAGAACCGAGAAATCACCTAAAAAAACAAAAAAATATATATTGCTGTTTGTGCTGATGGAAGATGACTTTTCTGGAATATTTTTCAGTAGGTTATGAAATGTTTCAGTAGATCAGGAGATATACTGATATTAGAACGTAAAAGGTGATTTTTTGTAGATGTCGATAAAAAAAATGATAAATTTCAAACAATGACAGCTTTCTCTGATGAATGAGCATTACTTAAGAAAAAATCATGCCGAAGAAATATCCCCCTGTTATCTATTACAGCCGTAGAAAAAGTATAGTGTATAACTCGCATAGAATGCTAATTTCCCACTCGTATAATTTGCAGCATGAGCCGTATTCTTGTAAGATGTTGTAAGGAATGACTATCATTCCGTGCTCGTTAAACAATATACAGTTTTGGTTTAATTTACCTTCTCGTCTTTTCAATGTGAAATTCCTGTAGGGCGAACTGATGAGATCGAACTGTGAAAGTGTCATTCCTGGTACAAAATTGACACTTGGTTCATTTTGCCAACGGTATATCAGATCTTTCGAAGTGTAGGCATCTAAACCAATGAAGAAACAATCAATAACAGCTTGACTTTTTAGTAAGTTTAACAAAAAATAATGAGAATTATGTTAACATCGTATATATAGGCCTATATACAGGGTGTCCGGAGAACCATTGGTCATACTTTAGCTAGTCATGAATAAGTTCCACAACTTGACTCTAATACAAGTCACGGTTTTCGATATATTGGAATTTTTATGAAGAAAATTAATTCATATCTCAGATCATTTTCATATGTTCAGAGAAAATAAGTGAATTTTCATTTTCGATTATTATTACTGGATAGTAGTTATAACGATCACAGAAGGCAGAATTTCTATAGCAGTCATAAACGGTCTACAAAAAAAACCGTTGAAGAAGTTCTGATTATCTGAGGTGGCATTAAAATTTTTTTCACTGAGGTCCAGTTGGGTTATGAACATACGCTGATGCTCTTAGATTCCATTCAGAGGAGCCATTTGCCTGGTGGGTGATGCCACACTCACTAGTTCTTTGACCTCATTAGAACATCGTAAAAAAGTCGACGACCTTTCACTTTTCTAGATACGTATTTCCAAGGGAAATGTTCCTTTGAAATCTCTGCTATTATTCCACCACTAGCAATAATACCAGTCAGACGAACTCGACAAGCTTAGTCAGCACATCCTCTCGTTGTTCACCTTGAGATATGTCGAACAACACTTTACCAACACCCCTTCGTCTGTAAAACTGCAAATCTCTGAAAATCTTTGCCAATGGAAGTATTCCCAAGAACTCATAGCCTCCAAAAGTTCAACAATAGGAATTTCCTTTCGTGCGCTCCATGAGATAGGAAAAAATTCTTGTTTATCACGAGCCAGAGTATGATCTATATTTCACAGGACACCCTGTACATAATAAAAGTGAATTGTTTGCAAAGAAGCCCCATCAAATACTTTGACCCCATCAAATGAAAGACTCGTTGTGTGTTTTTGGAACTATTTCAATGAAACCTACTTTGCAAATAAAGTTGAAGAATTCAATGATAAATACACTCACAGCTTCCGAAAATTAGTGGACAAGACTGTCTGTCCATTGGAAAACTCTTCAGCTCCATGGGACATTTGGCTTTGATAGTCAACCTATAAAATGAAATGGTGGCAACAATGTACATGTTACTTACATCGATAAACTACAAGGAAATAATTATGTGGTTGAAAGGGTTTGTAGGGTTTTGCATTTTTTCTCGTTTTTCTGCCAGTCAGCACATCCTAACGGTTGTCAACCCCCAAATATGTCGAACAGCACTACAGCAAAACTCGTTTCTCTACAAAACGGGAAAGCTCGACTGGAATTCATTGCCTGAGAAAGTATCTCCAAAAATTAAAAAAAAAATCCAACAACTATCTCCTCTCCCTATCCTCCCTATAGGTACGCACGATGTTCTTTGAACATTATAAGGATTCCCTTTCGTGCGCACCAAGCGATAAAAAAGAAATATTTGATTTTCTTCAATGTATACGAGATCAAATTTATTATTTTTCGTGAGTATATTAATTATAATAATAATAATAATAATCATAAAGGTCTCTTAATCTTAATCACGATTTGACAAATATTAATGAATAATATAAAAGATAGGGCGAAGTTCAATTCATTCTAGAATCCTGAAAGGGGTCTAGACTGTCTGTTCTTCCACCTGACCCAGCAAACAGATAGACATCTACGAGAAACAATAAGGAAAACGATCTGAACGCACTAGCAGTTGATGAGTACCTAAAAATTCTTGATGGTAGTTCATTATAAATTTTGGTAATACTGTAACTGTATGAGCGTTGAAAGTGAGTACTTTCATGTAGTGGTACTGTTAAGGTTCCATTAGACCTGATATTGAGGTTATGAACATCTGTACGGAATTTCAGTTCCTCATGAAGATACGGCGGAGTTTTGTCGGTCATGATTTTTTTGAATGAATATGCAGAGTGCATATATCTTCTGTTTTTAATTTTCAGCCATTTTATGAGTGTGAATAGATGACTGATGTGACCATACTTTCCTACCCCGAAGATCATCCTGATACACGAATTCTGAAGCTTTTGGATTCGACTTTCGTCTTTTGTGCTGAGAGATAGCGATCCTTTAAGACATCACAATAATTCAGATGTGATAAGACTAGAGCTTCACCTGGCCTCGTTAACAAGTGCTGTCTTTGGTAAATTAGCTCAAGTGCTGCGTAAGCCTTTCGAAGACATTTTGAAATGTGACTGTTGTAAGTTAAGTCTTGGTCAATAGTGACACCTAAATCTTTAACAGTCTTCTGTAGTTCAATAGTTTGATTATTCATTAAAATGGGATATTCATAAGTATCGACGTTACCAATTCGCAATTGATCATACTTTTTTCCAAATTGGAAATTGACAGGTAACTACTGTGGAATTCCGAATGACATTCTTTCGTGTAAAGATAGAACAATTCATCGATTGCTGCCATTGCTGGCTTAGTAATGGTCCTGGAAAGTGAGGCGATGTGAAAGAGCGGGATGAAAAAGTTATGTTTTTGTGTTCCTACCTATTCATGCATTCAACTATCCATTTGCACCCCTTCAAAGTGGTTCTCCAAGAATTGATTGATTGAACATGCTAGAGATATGATATCGTTTCCTTACCTCATAGAATAAAGGATGTCCCCATCTTGACTGATCCTCAAGAGCTTGTTGGGAACGGTGATGGTATGGACGTAAGAATTTTTCCCGTTGTAAAAGAAAGTGTCTGGTCTCCAGATTCTCTCCAACATTTTGATGGACAAGGAGAGAGATTTGATTGGTCCGAAGAATGACAATCTTTGGTCTCTCCAGTATTGCCTGAAGTAACAATCCATCGAATACTCCTGAAAGGACTTTCAAATGAACCGATTGAAAAAATTTGTTTTGCTCGGTAAGCAGTCTGAAATACTTCAATGTACAAAAACATTATAGTCTTTCGAGTTCCATACACAAGGTTCCTCAACCGTGAAGAAAATTCATATCATCTGATTATTTTATTTTTATTTTGTTTCATTCAAGAAATTATTGTCAAGAAGCAATGGCGTTTTTGGAAAACTTCCAGAAACAAATACATACCATGTCAAGCTCTGATACAGGTCCCATGCTTCTGATGAGGATGTTGGTGTGGACTATGGTCGGTATGTCTGAAAATCAATATACAGGGTGAGCTTCGCTGTTAATATTTTCATATTTGTTTGGTACCGAATATGGTTAATTTCGAATGTACATCTTTGAGACGTTTTTTGTAAAGGTAGCCCCGGTACCTACCAGCTTATTTGATAAGATTTGGCACTTGTTCACTGCCATATTTTCAACTCATTGGCTTCAAAGATTTGATCTATGGCAAGAAAGAATTGCAAACCGAAGCAAAATCAGTCCATTCGTTAGTAAGGGTGATTTAAATTTGCTAAGGAAAATTGGCAAAAGTCCAAATCCTCGTTTGGCTATGAAATGATGTCATTAATTTTAATAGGATGCTCGCGAATTACGTGTTCATTGTGATGTTCTGGAAAACCTAAATCTCCTAACAATTAATTGTTGTTGAGATTCAAATGTGAAACCATATGAATGTAAGAGAATTCAATCGAGTCTAGATGATAGAAAGTAGATATATAAAAGAATGGAATGCGATAGCGTTTGCTATTAATTTTCCTTCAGCTGCGTTCTATAAACACACAAATTGTCTTTTGTTTCCCCACAAATGATGCGAGATGAATCCTTGTTTTTTCTCTGTTTGAGGATTCAAGGAATTTTGCTTAAGCGATAACAGCTTTCCTAATGTTAAAACCTGAGCTAGGAATTCGAATTATATAGGCATCAAAGAAAGAACTGACACTTGAAAACCATTCTTCCGTTCAATCCAACTCAATAACCAGAATAGTGGGAAACAATGGTGTAGAGCTGATAGAATGGAAGATAAAAATAATACCTATACGGTACTCTACGCAGAAAAAAAAATTTGTTCGAAACTACAGAATTTTTGTGAATTCAACAAAATCTGAGTGTCATAATACCCACGACGATATATTTTGTTACCACAACAAATGTTTTTTGTCAGTTTTGAATTCGAAAATCATTTGATGTAACTCATTAATGATTCAAATTAACAGCAGGAATTGTTGAATAAACGAAGATTAGTTTGTTACTATAATAAAATATCTGCTCTTATGCACAGATTCTGTTGATTAAAATGATAATATCATCCTATTCAGAAGACAAAATTTTCAGTATTTCAGAGAGTGAATATGTTGAAATAACAATTTATATATTCTTCGATCAACAAAATTGTATTTAGAACTGACAAAGTATTTTGTTGAATAATATTTGAAAAAATCCAATAACTGAATTTCAAAACTAAGAAAAATTCGAGATCAATTTCCTCAGTTGATTCAAGACTATTAGCTGGTATAAGCATCATAAGAAATTCTGAGACAGCTTAATATTATTTTAAAAACGGATGTTCTAAGAACACCCCAATCGAGCCGAGCGTAGGAAGGTTGGAAGAAACGCCACCTGGTGGCAAAAATTCAACTAAATACTCATTCAACAAAATATTTGTTTGACATAATGCATGTGTGTGTTCTGTTCAACAAAATAATTTGTTTGAAATAACAACATATATCTTGATTGTGATGTGTTGAATCAACAAAATATATTGTTGTCATAATCAATTCAATTTTGTCGAATAGAAAAAAAAAATTTGATTGGTTTGCACAATGAAATGATTGTTGACTCAACAAAATATGATGTATTATTTAGCTAAATCTTTGTTGAAATCAATTTAATTTTGTCGAATAGACAATATGCATATAATTGATTGAACAATGAGATGATAGTTGGATCAACAAAATGTGTTTTATGTTAATTAAATGTTGTTGAATGAAATGAAACTTTTGTTCAAGTAAGCAAATGTTTAAATCAAATTATTTTATCTCTTTGAATAGGTTGCTTATCTGGAATAAATATATATTTTGTTGATTTCGCAAAATTGTGTTTAATTTAACAAAAATTATTTTGTTGGTGCAACAATACTTTTTTTCCGTGTACTTATTATTGAACATATCCAAGTTTTTTTATAGAAAGGCTTTCCATCAGAAGATTTTTCGTTTCCCTGGTTTGTATTATGAATTCTGCCTCAAAAAATGTTATACATTTGGAAATACAATCTATTATTCCTCCTAATTTATCGATGTATAATAATTTCGATATGCCTCTGAATATAATGGAATCTTCAGCTATCCAGTCCATTAATTGGATTCTCCTGTCTCTCATCATTCGTCTTCTGTTGTCTCAGAATTCAACGTGTAATGCGATACCAAAATATGGCAGATAGAAGTCAAAATCGAGCTGAAACAGTATATACTTAGATGATAAGTAACGGAGAAATGCTTTCATATCGGAAGAATGATAGAAAACTAAAGAGTGTGTCAACAATCGAGAAAGAAATATATCTGCCCAACAGATTGTAGGAAATAATATCGATATTTTGGTATCCGTAGGTTGAGACATTATTTGCTTTATTGAAATCAAGGACGACTTGATTTCCTCACATTATGTGGATAAGCATCCAGGTTACCCAGGATATTATATTCCATTTGAAAATATTTCAGGATGAAGAGATAATTCGAGAAAATATGCAGGATGTTTGGTGCACCGACGTATGTCTGGAAGAAGACGGTAGGTAATTTGATTTTAAACATATTTAACATTTAACCATATATACCTACTATCATACAGGGTGATGTCAACCCTTCCACAATTTGGGTTTCTTTGATCGCTGAAAGAAGGGTAATACTCTGGAATTCACTTTCGTCAAATTTCATCCAATTTGTTTCACTTATTTTCGAACAGCGAACAAAAATGTGTTTTCCTCCGATTGGCAGCAAATATTAATTTTGCTGACACATATCAATCAGCAAAGTATTACTTTTCCTGCCTAGGCAGCAAAGTGGGTACTTTGCTGCCTAGGCAGCAAAGTGGTCACTTTGCTGATTGATATGGATCAGCAAAATTAAAAATCCATAAATCGTTTATAATTTCCTCCATATTTCTTCCGAGACTTCTCCGGCAACAAATTCAACTCTATATTTTTTGCCACCTCCCTTATTAATGGAGGTGTAAGTATACTTCTAGGTCGCTATCACTGTCCATTATATAATAATTTAAATATACCGATATTTTTTCGCACAACTGTCAGAAATTTCATGAATTGTCAAACCAACAACTGCGATTTCTATCAAATTTTATTTTAATTAACACTATACAGGAAGAATAAAGAGATTGTGGGAATTGTATTAATTTGCAAAAACAATATTCTCCCATATCATTATGAACAATCGGAGAAAAAATTATATGTTCAACTCGGCAGCAAGGTAGATTGACTGCCTTAGCTGGATTCCTAGCCTCGCTACGCTCGGCTATGAATTCAGCCACGGCAGTCAATCTACTACTTTGCTGCCTAGTTAAACAAATAACTATTTTCCATGTGAACTTTGAACTCGTCTCACGGACAAACGGTACATTTTGTTATATTAATGAATTGGGACCAATATAGTTATTTTTGTATCTAGAGCGCGAAATGCTACTTTGGTGATCGAGATCTGATTTTTTTAACGTGGCGTAGCCGAGTTAAAAAACTAGTCGAGATGACCAAAGTATTTCGCGCTCAAGTAGCAAACAATAGTTATTTTTGTATCTAGAGCGCGAAATGCTACTTTGGTGATCGAGATCTGATGAAAAAATAGTCGAGATGACCAAAGTATTTCGTGCTCGAGTTGCAAACAACATTTTTTCTACAAAAACGTCAAAAAATATAGTTTTAAAGTAAAAATATGCTCAGCTTGATATAAAAAATGGTGTTGAACTGGCTTGAAAGGCCTCTCCTATCCTCCTTAGGTGTGCTCCAAGAGATAAAACGAAGTTATTGTTGAACATTCAGAAATAAATGATTTCGTGGATGTTTTCTCGATTAAGGACCATTAAGTTGAAATATAAATATCTTATATATTTTACATAACAATGCGCGAAGTAGGTACTTCGCGCACTGTTTTACTTCGCACATTGTTTGGTGCAAGGTATCATTGTAACGTAGGAAACTGAAAAAAAGTGTCACTTCGCAATTTGCTATCAATGCGCGAACCTTGTCATTTTTTGACGTTTGTAGAAAAAATTTTTTCTACAGACATCAAAAAATATAGTTCTAAAGTGAAAATATGCTTAGCTTGATATAAAAAATAGTGTTGAACTGGCTTGAAAGGTCTCCCCCTATCCTCCTCAGGTACGCACGATGTTCCACGAACATAATAGGAATTTCCTTTCGTGCGCTCCAAGAGAAAAAACAAAGTTATTGTTGAACATTCAGAAATAAATGATTTTGTGGATGTCTGCTCAATTGAGGACCATAAAGTTGAAATATAAATATCTCATATATTTTACATAACAATGCGCGAAGTAGGTACTTCGCGCACTGTTTTATTTCGCGCATTGTTTTGTGCAAGGAATCATGGTAACGTAGGAAACTGAATGAATGAATGCGCGAACCTTGTCATTTTTTGACGTTTGTAGAAAAAACTTGAACGATGGAAACTTGTTATTTTTATAGACCTTCAATCGCAGATTCGTGATTGAGTTTTCTCAATTCAGAATTTCTTCTATTATCAATTTGCCATACATCCAAAAACAATAGACCTAAATAATTCCCCGCTGTTGAATTTATTTTCTTAGTAGGTAATTATCCGTTTGAAGTTAATACGGTAGGTACACCTAATTTAATATGTAGATTATTGAGCGTACTTTCCTTTTAGCAGATAATTTCAATCCTTTAGGTTTGGAAAGTATGATGTGAAAGTTGAGCAAGTCAATGTGAGTTTAGTTTAATCCGTTTAATATGCGAGTATTTCACTTGAAGAAGTTACTGTGTCGGCGAAATATGTCGTGTTATTGAGAATTTTCATGTAAATCTTATCGTTTGTGAAGTTTGTCACATTTACAAGGAATTTTCATCAAGTAATGACAAAGTTAATTGAAAACAGCAACAGAAAGTTTCGTTTTGAAGACGACTTTATACCTCTTCCATGAGTTGGCAGCTGTGAACTCTCGTAATTCTTCAGAAGATTTTCCAGCACCATGGTGATATTTTTGCTGACCCCATCATTGATGGGCGATCTCGGCGACTTGATGGTGAAGTTGTTGAACCTCCTGCCGATGTTTCGAGCCTGAAAGTCCATCACCACGTTCTTCAGAGACACGGTCTGGTTTAGTGGATCTTTGTCCAGGCTCAAACCATGGCGGGTCGATAGTTTTTGGAATGCAGACACCAACAACCTAGATAATTCAAAGAGTCAATCGAGGGTTTTCCAACCATCGAAAGTATGAATGGACTTTGATGGATGGAATCGTCAATGTTGGAGTAATATTTGATAATAAAATGTACTCCGCTTCACAAGGATTGATTATGGAGAATCCATTGATCATTAATAAAACAAGAGAGAGAGAGAAAACATCTTTATTAGGGATATACCCCAAAAGGCCATTGACCGAAGTCTTTCAGCCCTAATAAAACAATTTTTGTATTGGTATAGATATATATAGGTAGATGACGTAATAGTATGATTCAGAGGAGACCCAATAAACAATCGGTCCATTTTCATCAATATATGAACACAATTCATCCAAATACATAATATATCATGGAAATAGAAACAGAAGATTCAAAACATTTTTTAGGTTTGACAATAAGATTAACGATGAACATATTTTCTTTTTTTTTTTTTTCTTTTTTTTTCTTTTTTTTTTTTATTTTTTTTTTTTTTTCTTTTTTTTTTTTTTCTTGAATCTCACTCTTCATAATCAACTCACACATATCAACATACAATAATGGTAGCATATAATATAATATAAATATTATATATTATATATAATATTGTAGTTAACAACGGATTTAATGATGGCTTGATAGACAATATTATTTCCAAGAAACTCCAATCCAAGAAGTACACCTACTTGAGAGTTTCTCATGGAACAAATAACACGTTAGGAAAGTTTATCTAGAGTAGTAAAGACAGAACTTTGAAATCGAAAAATCAGGAGTATACAAACTGAACTGCGATTTAGAAGGCCAAATATGAAAGTTAGTATCAATCTTTAGCGTCTCCTATACAGGGTGTCCCTCCGGGAACTGCATCGATTAATATATAGAAAACCATATATAGGTGGGCCGAATTTGAAGTGCTATTGTTGATGAGTGCTATCCGGTTAAAATATATCGAAGATTGTGGCACTTCCGGTTGTACCGTTATTTCAAATGGGACACCATGAATATTATCAAAGTCTTAAGTATAATGTCCTATACCCAAGTCCAAACGTTTTCGAAATATTTCAAATTTTAATTTGAAAATTGCGTTTGCAGACCGAAAAATATTTTTTTTAGTTCTGAACATGATCATTTATTTTCGATTGTGTATCGATTTATTCGTAGGAGAGGACCCAGTTCAGTAGAATTTCGATATCAATTCGATTATAGTTATACATGGCGTTCACCAGAAAATGATATAGATCCGGTTGAAAGAATTATTGTACCTAAGTCAATTGTTTCAAATGGAAACCCCTCAATTTTATATTCTCATTCGATTCAGCATTGAAAATGAAGCTGAACTTTGAATGAGGGTATCTATGCCCACACTCAATAGTATTCGAAATATTGGCGAACATGTCTCAGTTCCACAATTTTCAACCTAAAATTTGAAATATTTCGAAAACGGTTAGGCTTGGGTATAGGACATTATACATGAAACATGTTGAGAATCATGCGTGAAATCTAAAAACCTTGATAATATACAGGGTGTCCCATTTTGAATAACGAAGTTGGGGTCAACTTCCGGTACAACCGGAAGTGCCATAATCTTCAAAATATTTTAGCCGGATATTACTAATCAACAATAGTGAACTCCCGAATTTTCAAATTCGGCCCACTTGTGGATTTCTATATATTGTTCGATGCAGTTCCCAGAGGGACACCCTGTATAGTTGGAGGCCTATGTAAATCACCCTCTATTGGTTCAACCACCGAATTAACAGGCATTGTATGAGTTCTTCGAAAAATTAATCGAATTCAAGAGAATAAAGAAATAAATCTTAAACATTTAGTAGTAGTAGTATATGTACTTCGTTGGCGTGTATATGTACAGCTGTGTTCATAAAATAGTCGTACAGCAGTTGTAGGCTATTGTGAGTCAGGCTCGTCAATCTTGATTAATCTTCTTAGTGTCTTTTTATCGACTTCGACAAGTAGTGTCAAAATTCAAATCAATACCTCACGAGAGGTCCTTCAGCCCATGTGTGTTCTGTGGTAGGCTTTGTTACTGACTCCATACGTCACCTTTGGAACGCAACAGCGAATCGTGCGGAATCATCTCCAACCGAGGCTACGCAAATTAGAATTTATATCTCGTTTTAGAAATAAAAATTGTCTGCTCTGCCTGCGATTAATAATAATAATAATATTTATTGATCCTGTAGGACATTTTCACAATGTATAGGATATAAGTCAGCAAAAATGAGACACTTGAACATAAAATCAGTTGCTATACTGGAATTGAATCAAACATTATTATATGTCTCTGTCTGAGAACTACTGTAGTAACATTTTCTCAACAGTAGTTCATTTACAGATTTTATGAAGAGGTTATCATTGAGAAGTTTGTAGTTACTTGCAAGATGGTTATACATTTTGATTCCCATATATGAAATGCAATATTGAAATTTTTTGGTTTTGTGTTTAGGGATAGAGAAGAAGTCAGAATATGTCTAGTTTCGTAATTCTGTAATAATGACTTTTTGATATATTTGGATATATTTTTTCTCCTGAAATTAACAACCTTCCGATGATCTGATCAGTGTTGTTTCTGGGTATAAATTTTTCGTACAAGATTTAGTTTGCAAAATGTAACAGATTTGTGTCAGAAGATGATATAGACTGGAAAAGCCTGATATTTTACATTATAAATGTCATTCTTGTCAAACCTTGTCGCACGATTTAGACATTTTTATACCATTTTTGACAAGAATAAGGCAAAATCACAGAACAGATGACATAAATATAGAGCATAGGCTCATAGAGCAGAACATAATCATCTGCTGAGCACCGACCTACATTTTTTAGTCATGAAACATCTAATTTTGGATCCAACTGCAAATAGTGATAGATTCATGACAAAACGTGAAAACGCAACAACCTCCAGTTTTCCACGAAATAGTAATAGATCTATTACTAGAGTAATGACAAGCCAATGACGGCTATAAATATCTGGACTGTCTGACGAGTACTACCCATATACGTATTAATAATCAATACGGATAATCTCTATCTGTTTCCATAGCGAAACATGATCCATAAGGAAAAGTTTTGAAACGATCAGACACATACTGCTTTGATTGAAAGGCTAGTAAACGTCTTTGTCCACCGAAACGCATGTCTTTGATGACTACTATAATAGCGCATGGCGCATGCGTATCATGCCACCAAATCCTTATGGATATTCATTTGTTTCATATTTTTGGCTTCATCCTGACACCCGTTATGATCCGTATTGTTTATTAATACGTATATGGTACTACCGCATTGTCCAATGTCATTGGACAAGCAAGGACATTGGACAAAACATGGGAGGGACAAGCACCTCAATCATGCCGCTATTCCGATTTAAAATCAACGAACGCAAACATTGTGACATTTTACAAGTATACCACTTGATGTAGAAATCGTATCTTTTGTGAACATCTCTACAACTAAATATATTCAAAATTTCATTCGGTAGATTAAGGGAACAACAAAATGGAATTGTGTCGAGAGGGTAAAACATGAATTTTTATTGATCTGAAGAGCCTAAATCGTGCACTTCACCTTCGCCGATGTCTTTTCAAGTCTTGTAGGGGTGGGGAAGACAATACAAGGGCAAGATCAGCGTTTTCTCCTACCCTTTGTTAACTGGATCGGAAAATGAAAAATTGGGATAGCAAACATCTCCCAGTCAATAAAATATTTAGATGGCTTCGTTGGATTTCGCAGATATATTGCTATGAGGAATTTATCAAAAACACTTCACGTGAAGCTGTTAGATAGATTTTTTGCGCTTTTGATAGTGATTCATAATAGCAGAATCCCAGAATTCAATAATAAATTTCAGTAACCGTACTTTTTGATGGGACAGCACTTCAATTTTTACAATAATAAAAAAAGGCTTTTATCTCCAACAGGTTTTACACCCAATAACAGGAAAATGCTACAAATGAATATCAGCTTCCGATTATTAATTACACTTTCGACAGAATAATACGTTGATACGAAGATGAACAGTGAATATTTTCAATAAGAAGAATAACTGAAAAGTCTTGTATTTCTAGAAGACAATTTATTCAATAACATTCAATGACATGGTAACAATAAATCATATACATAGTATCCTAGTTTATAATAATTCTCAAATGCAGGATACTAACCATAACAGAATAACAGAAGGATGACCAAAACTAGATGTACAACTTTACTAGTGCATATAATCTATATATATGGTGCAGAATTCAGATTCTTGATCACCCGGTATATGTCCCAATTAAATATCAGTAGATAGTTAATCAAAAGTTGAGATAGCGACATGTGAGCCGTTTTGACCAATAATGAATAGTTTCGACAAAAAAAATTCCTTAAGTTGAAAAATGTCGATTTTTCACACCCTATATCTCTGTAATCATTTCCGCTAGACCCCAAGTGTGATATATCGATGAAATCAGCTCTTCAGAGAGAAACTGAAAATGCGATAAAATACAGGGTGTTCTATTCAAAATAACAAAGTTGTTGCTACTTTTCGATAGAAGCGGCAACGCCGCAGAGCTGAAAATATTTTAGATCGATAGATCAAGAGCAATTACTTGAGTAACCAAATTTTCAGAATGATCTTATGTCCCGTTCTCCGTAAACGTCTAAGGTGCCATCGACCGTGACCCACCCTATAGCCCTGTATATCCAAGAGAATCCCAAAATGTCGCTCAAAGGAAATAAATAAGGCCCCTGCTGGAGGAAACGATTGAACACGGGATCCGAATCCATTAGTTAACTTCCAAATAAATAGTTTCCAAACACAAAATAGTAATTCGCTGTTCTGGTTTCGGTTGGAAATAGAGGTAATATGATGGTAAATTGTCGAGCCATTTCGCACTCCAAAGCGAGTGATCATTTGATTATCAAGGTATTCGCCGTGTTCAAAGTAGGAATTCGTTACATTTCGTCCGGAAATTTATGGAGACGAAGGTTTCAATCAACTTGAGGG